ACGCTACGGAGACCAGAGAAGCGGCTTAAACGCTGCCGGCAGACATCCACGCCGCCGCTGCCTGCCTGCTGACCCGGGTCTGCAGCAAAGGCGCTTGATGGGGGTAGGGAGCCCTCCATGCTCTGCCATGATCAGCCATTAGGAGCAGCTGGTGGTGAGGCGTGGCTGCCCGCGGGGCACTCCTAATGGCAAGTTCCCCCCGCCTTCCCCCCCAATTTCACATGTTTTAAAATAGGCCTAAATTTGGGGGGAGGGCTTAATTTCATTTGATGCCTAGAAAACATGCTGGGTCTTCCTATTGGGGGGTGTATTGTTGGAGAAACACTGTATTAACTAGAGCATACAAAACATTTGCTAGACCAATACTTGAATACAGCTCATCAGTATGGAACCCACATTACGTATCTGATATTAATACAGTTGAGAAAGTCCAAAAATATTTCACAAGAAGAGTTTTACACCCCTCTAATCATTGCAGAATACCTTATGCCACCAGACTTGAAATTCTAAACCAAGAAAATCTAGAACTACGCCACCTTCGGTCCGATCTAAGTATAGTATATAAAATTATATATTGCAATGTTCTACCTGTCAATGAATACTTCAGCTTCAACCATAACAACACAAGAGCAAACAATAGATACAAACTCAAGGTTAATCGCACCAAACTTGATTGCAGGAAATACGACTTCAGCAACAGAGTGGTCAATGTCTGGAATACTCTACCTGACTCTGTGGTTTCTCCTCCAAACCCCAAAAACTTTAACCTTAGACTGTCTACTATTGACCTCACCCCTTTCCTAAGAGGTCTGTAGGAGGCGTGCATAAGTGCACCAATTTGCCTACCGTCCCTGTCCTATTGTTTCTTTTTATTTTTCTTACATGTATCCATTTCATGTATTCATAACTATGTTTATACTTATACCTATTATCTTATAATCGCTTGAAAAAATAAATAAAAATAAAGAAATCTGATTGGTGGTGCTGAGGTTGTTACCTCTTCCAAGCTCCTCAGCTAGGCCTCGACCTGCCTCGTGTTGCGTTGCCTTGCGTCTGGCCAGCTCCAACATTGGCTTCCGCTCTTCACAAACACGAACACGGCTAGGTTTTTCCCATAGAAGTGGGGCCCATTTATCTACTGGTGGAGAGAAATTGGCCCTTTAAATCAAAAGTCAATTTGAGAGACCTTGAGGGTGGCGCCTGATCACCAAGAGCCAGAAAGAAGAGATGGTTTTGGCGCAAGAGTTTGGGATAATTTCCTGAGGGGATTATCTGGCGTGCTGGATGAGGGAGTTGCCTGAAACAAAGTTGAGGGTTATATTATTTGGAATCATGTTGGGGGCGGGGTATTGTTGTATTTAAACTGTATATTCTGTGTATGAAAAATTATTTTCCTTGGCACATTTTAAAGAAGTTTGTTTTTCATTTCAATCCTAACTGGTTGCTTTCTATCACTCTTCTCAACTTGGCTGGGTTACAAGCTAAAGTCCTGTTTTGGTTTCCCTTAAGTGATTGACCAAACTCAAAGTAGAGTGTGGATTTCCAGTCTATCCTCTCCTGGTTCTCCAGAGGGCTGGTGTGGAAAAGAGAAACCAGTTTACAGCATAGTGAAGGGATAATGGCAGCAGAGACCTACTGTAATTGTGCAGTTCCTCTTTGCCCCAAAGTGTTATTACCTCAGAAATCAAGGGAATTGAAAATGATCAAGCTGTTGATTGAGTTGCTGATGAAGTAACCTAACAAAATTCAACATGTATTTCTAACATAATTAAAGGAAATAATAGTTTATATGGCCTGGCTAACTTGGGATTTGGAAACGAAACCCATTCAGTCCTGGACAGGACTTGAATGGGAGATCAGACCAAACTACAAGGGTTGGGGAATTGAAAGGCATCCTATTAGACTAGGGGTCTCCAACCTTTTGGACCTCAGGGACCACCAAACTCATAATTTCAAATCCCGCGGACCATTAACATGAATTTTGATTGATGGTGGTTTGCTGATATTGGTGGGAAAGTTGGTCCCATATTCCAGAGCTGCAATAGTCACAGGACTGGCCTGTGCATCGGCCTGTCACGGATGAGCTGCTCCAGGATGACCAAAGGGCCAGTCTTGTGACTACTGCAGGTGTTGCCTGGTTATTAGGAGCCCATCTTCATTGGCACACTTTTGGTCTGGGCATCCAACCTTCGCTGCTGGCTTCTTGTGGGGCCAACGGGAATTCCAGGTTGGGTTGAGCTGAGTGCCTTGGAAGCCCCATAGTTTGCCTCATCGCTGTTTGTGCAGGCAAGAGCTCAAGCTTTTCTAGGCTCTACAACACCCTCCCCCTTCGGCCTCCACACAAGAGGACTCCCAGAGGCTCAGTTCCAGGTTTCTCCTGCCACTTACAAGCAGAGAAGGATCACTCCCTCCAGGCCTCAAAGCCACATGCGTGCTGGGTTCTCCCCACAGGCTAAGGGCATTGCCCAAGGCCCCCACCTACCCACCATCAGCGAGCCCAGGTTGGAAGAAGAGGAAGGGGCTCCAGGAGCTTGGCCATTGCACTGAGCCCCACCCTTAGCAGAGCAGAGTGCCGAAAGGGACAAGAAAACTGACGACGCCCCATTCCAGGCCTTTGAACTGGATGGTGGGCACAGACTTGCTCACTCTGCCACCTCCCACCACCACCAGCTGCTACTTTTCCTCCCCTGGGCTTTCCCTACAGCCCGCGGCCATCGAAGAAGAGCCCAGGCTAGGAGAGGCGGGCTGGAAGGTGCAGGAGCGCCGCACAAATGCAAGTAGCGTGGTGTTCCTTCATCTTCTAGCCACTTCAACCCGTCTGTGCCACCAGCCCCCTCTTGCTGCAACAGTACCATTACATTGTCCTGGTTGGCGAGGGCTGCACTGCTTTTTGCATGTTGCACCTCCTGTAGATTTGCACATTACATGTGCCAACCCCTACTGTGAAGATTTCCAACCCTTCCACAGGTCGGTCCCATATTCCAGAGCTGCAGTAGTCACAAGACTGGCCCTTTGGTCATCCCAGAGCAGGTCATCCATGGCAGGTCAATACACCTGGGTGAGGAGCAGCTGCTCTTGGGTGACCAAAGGGTCAGTCTGTGACTACTGCAGCTCTGGAATATGGGGTCGACTTTCCCATCAATGTCAGCAAGCCACCTCGGGGTAGATTTCCCTCCCCTGAGGTTGGTCTTACCTTCCAGTTCCAGCTCATGTGGCTCTACTCAAAGTAAGGTTTGCGCTTGGTCAAAGGGTGGGGGCCAGCAGGTGGGTGGGCCATGTGGGTGGTGCGAGCCTTGTGTTCCCACGCAACCTGGATTAATTGCTTTGGGGGAAGGTGCTTTGGGGGGGGGACATTTCTCTGCAAACCACCAAAATTTTCTCGTGGACCAGCAGTGGTCCTTAGTCCACCAGTTGGCGACCACTGTATTAGACAACGATGGCAAACTACACACCATTGACAGGAACACAGCACAAAGTTGAGCTTAACTCAAAGGATGTTTATTCAGGTAGTCCTTGACTTACAACAGTTCATTTAATGACCGTTCAAAGTTAGAATGGCACTGAGAAAAATAATTTATGACCATTTTCATACTTATGACTATTGCAGCATTCACATGGTCACATAATCAAAATTCAGATGCTTGGCAATTGGTTCATATTTATGATGGTTGCAGTGTCCTGGGATCATGTGATCTGCCCTTTTATAACCTTCTGACAAGTAAAGTCAATGGGGAAGACAGAGTCACTTAATCATGTTACTAATTTAACTGCAGTGATACTTAACAATGGTGGCAAGAAAGATTGCACAATGGAGCAAAATTCCCTTAACAAACGTCTCCCTTAGCAACAGAAATTTTGAGCTTAATTGTGGCCGTAAGCAAAGGACTACCTGTATACGCCAAGACACAAATAGCTAAAATGGTGCTCCTGTGGCCCTTTTGTTTAAAACTGAGGAGACATTCTGCCATTCAAATCTTTATTCCTAAAGTATTTTTATTGATGTGTTTCAATACTGCATTCAGAATTTAAAAACTGCAATGCTTTCACTGAATTTTTTTTTCTGAGTTCAGAGTTTACATAGATAAAAAAGTTTCCTGTTAGAATTTGTCCCACAATTTCAGAGGATAAAAAGGATAGCTAATTGCTCATCCCTACATCCTTAAATCTGTCAGGTGTTTATAGATCACATAAGCCAAGTAGGGTAATGTCACACTTGCATCTTTAGAAGCACTGATTATTATTGGTTTGCTGTATTTGGCAACTATCAAATGTGAAGGCAATGCATGTGGGCCTTTCTGTGGGAAAACCTGGAAGCTGGTGAACATGACTTTTAGTTGTTAGAAGGTATCTTTTTAGCATTCTGCATAGTACTTTGATGGATCTCTATAATAGGTTTACCAGCCTGGTCCTGTTTAATTAAACACAGTGATTTCAGATACATCTAATTCCACACAGGTTCACACATTTCAGTTGCATAATCTGTGCAAAATGTATCTTTCCTTGCAATAGAATTTAAGCTATCTTGGCAAGAAATGTTGAGGAAAAGATTGCTCAACTGGTTCTGCTAAATCACAGAACATTCATATTCTTTGGAATGTTGTGCTTTGATCTCCAGAATTAACTTGGTTTTGGATATAGATTAGAATGTCAATATGTGCCTCCCTGTATGTGGAGGTTTTTTATTTAGAACCAATGAAATATAAGATGGGTCTACAAATATGTTTTTATAGCTGAACATGCTTCCCTATCCTTTTTGCATTAGCTGTGGAGATTTTCAATACCTCAGTTCTAGCGTTTACTTAACAACCACATATCTTTGAGCGCATAGATAAGCATTGCCAGCCTGCTTTTATAATGGTGGCCAACTCTCAATTTTTTATTTATTTCAAACTGAGAACTATATGAGAGTATAATACCACTATCTTCATTGTGCTAAAATGGCAACTATTAAGGTAGTCACTAACCTGTTGTTTTTCAGTACATATGGCATAGGGTAATACTTAAATTAAGGGATACCATAGCTGGCATTCCTCTTGCATAATATCTTGATTTCTGTTTGATGAGCTGGATAGAAGGTTGAGGTCAAAGAGGGCCTCTCCAACCCAAAAACGTGTAGCAAATATGTACTGGCAAGGAAACTGGAGAACCATAGAAACAGAGTAGCTACAAGTAGTCAGATTTTGGCTCACCAGAAAGAAACATGTGCTACCTTCTAGGAGGAACCCATTGTGCATGTCATCGAGCTCAATATGCATGGGGCACCAGGGTTCCTCTGCTACCAAATATGCATAGGCATGAGGAAAGAAAGTGTGGTACAGTGCAATCACTGGTGTCACATTGAAGCTTGAAGTCTCCACATGCAAGGCCTGGAAATCCAGTAGATCCTGAACCCAGGAAGCCAGAGCCATAGAAGGATTGAATGTGGTCAGCAGCTTGTGGTGGTGGGTATTAAGGTAATCAAGAAAAGAATGTTCTCTGTTCTTCTCAAAAGCCCAACACTCCATCCATGTGCCTCTGTGATGCCAACACTCTTAAGTACTGCAGAAGAAAAGAGAGTGGAGCCACATCTTCCAAATCACAGATACTGGCTATATACCCATGGTGAATCAGCATTTAGCCATTAACAGATTGTGAATCTGGTCCTCTTTTGGTATTGTTAGTTCACAGGCCTTACAGTAAAAGGCTTCCAAGACTTTCAGGCAATTGTGACTACCTTCACTTGCAACTTGATACCTGGAACACTCTACACCAGTGAGGACATAATGAATTCATGGAGGTCAGAGAGGCCCTGACATACAAAACAATAGACTACCTCACATCCATGCCCATTAGCATCTTGACACCATATTGTATAGAGTTCAAAATCCTCAAGGAGGCAGGCAGCACATTCCAAGAAAAGGCAGTCAGGGAAGTGCTTCACAAGTATGCGAGGTGGCTAAGAAAATGTTATTAAGAACAGCCACATCCTCCTCAAAAACCAGTTTGATTTTGGCCTGTATCTGCCTTGAAGAGTCCATCTAGAACTCATACATCCCCTTATCTTTGGCTTATATTTCTCCAGATTCCAGATGAGGTCAGGTGCCAAGAAGCACTTGGAAATACTGTTTGTAATGCAGCTAGGCAGCCTCAAGCTGTCCAGTTGAAAGGCTCTTGAATAACAGTAGGAAATTTTTTTTAATTAATTTTGAGGAAAATCTAATTTGAGCAGTTTTGTGTACCCATGTTCTATATTATTGGTGCCTTTGCATGTGGTCTCTGAAATGAACTTTTATTTATCCTGTTGCAGCAGTGAGAAGATTGGCTGCACAGCCTCTATTACTCTGCACCTAGGCCCCAAAAATCGTCTAGTGGTAATTGAGGCCAGAATTGGAGCACAATCACTGCCTGACAGAACTGGAATTTGCACACTATTTCAAAAGGCAACAGCTTGTTCTCCCTCCCTAAAAGAAGGTGAATTAGCTGTAAAATGTTGCCAAAAATTGAAGAGGGGAAGCCACTAGGAAATAATTGAAAAAAATTAATAAATAATATTTATACAATTATATTCTACTTTTTCAAGATAAGATGGAACTTTCAAGTTGAATAATATTTTTATTATTTTATTATTATTACTTTTATTTGGCAGTATGTTTAAGATTTTATACATGGATGTGAACATCCAAAATACGGGTTTACTATAGATAGTATATATAAACTTCCTGAAATATTCCAATTTGAATAGATTCTCAGAATTTATTCAATTTATTATAGCTTATAGTTTCAATCAGACATTTAAATTCTGCTGATTAGAGTTCCTAATATGTATGCTTAGCTTCAAGCCTGATAGTGATTTCTAGTTTTTTAAAGTGATATATTTTATAATAGATAATTAATGATATATTGAAAAAGTGTAATTTCCATGATATTTTGTGGCACATGGTTAGAGTGCAGTCCTGCAGGCTACTTCTGCTGCCTGCTGCCTGCCTGCAATTTGGCAGTTCAAATCTTATCGGACTCAAGGTTGACTCAGCCTTCCATCCTTCCAAGGTCGATAAAATGAGGACCCAGATTGTTGGGGGATATATGCTGACTCTGTAAACCGCTTAGAGAGGGCTGGAAAGCACTGTGAAGCAGTATATAAGTCTAAGTGCTATTGCTGTATTTTAGTTACATTGTTTACTTATTTGTAATTTATTCCTTTACATGTTTTTAATCTCTTTTTGTTCTAATCTTCTAAAATGCTTAATTTATAAAAAAAGGAAAATATTTTTAATTGTATGCATTTATATGATTATGTTAACTTTAATACGTACCATGACGTAATGTTTAGTTAATCAGTACTGTTCATGTGCTTCCCAACAGCGGACAAGGAAAAATCTCAGGAATCTTTGGTAAGCATTACTGAGGCCTGTACACATATATGAATACACATATACAGATACAATACAACTTACAATCACAATTGAGACCAAGATTTCCATTGTTAAGCAAGGCAGTTGTTAAACGAGTCACCTGATTTTTGCCATGGTTGTGAATCACCACGTGAATCTTAAGTTAAGTGAATCTTAAAGCTATTACATAAATCCGGTTTCCCCCATTCACTATGCTTATTAGAAGCCAGCTGTGTAGGTCATAAATGTTGATCACATGGCCCAGGGATGCTGCAACCATCATGAGTACATGACGAATACATGACAAATACATAGTGCCTGAATTTTGACCATACGACTGCATCAGTTATAAGTGTGATGACTAGTTGTAAGTCACTTTTTGCAGTGTTGTAACTTTGTAACAAATAGTTATAAGTCGAGGACTATTGTGTGGTACACATTCAGATGGTGGGGGAATTTTGACCAATTTTTTTGCTAAATGAAAGTGTATGTGGAAAACTCTGTATGGAAATCCTCCCATTCTTCAGATTCAATATAAATGTAAGTGCATGAGTTATTGTTTCCAATTAAAAAATCTTATGTATATTACTTCTGATTGTGTCATAAACAGCTATGTTTAAAGAAAATAAGTTTCTTGTTTTACCTCATTGTGGCATTTTATCATTAAGAATCTAAATTCTATTAAGGATAACTTTGTATAATGTATTAAGTCATTTAGATAAGGCATCTAATAATGTTAAGGAGGGAGGAGTTTTTCAGAATCTGTTGTACAAATTTACTTTATTTCCATCCTTTGGAATAAGCTACCTGTTGGTTTGGATTCTTCTCTTGTTCATTCTTCTAAATTATGCCCTACAACATCATAGCTTGTGTATTATATGATCAGAATTAAATTAAATATAGCAGTATATCACAGATTTAAATAGGGGACATTAAATGGGACATCTGAGTTCCTTTCCATAAGTTGTATATTTTTACATTTCTTGGGAAGTGATTTTGTTTTCTACCATTTGCTTTGAAATTATTTTTAACTAGCTGCTGGAAATCAGATAGTATCTACAGCATATAAGGTAAAAAAAAGTATATTAAATACACTTGGAAATGATGCCTCAGCATTACAAAATTAGTATCTACCAGCAACCATATGGGACAACGTACCATTCTTGCTTAAAGCAAGCCTTTCTATGAATTAATATACTTTGCTTATTCTAAAAGGAACCCAAGAAGGAAAAGAACAATATAATAAATATGGGTATATTTTTATATGTACTTTTAAAAACCATCAGTAAGAACAGTTCCCTTATTTGTTACAAGCAAAAAATATGTTTGTTTACTGGGATTTTCATATAAATGTAATGCTGGAGCTGTCAAATCTAACTTTTGAAAATATTCATGTGAAAGAATAATGTATATCCACTTCAGTATGCACGTTTGTACACATGAAATCCAGTACAGAAGCCCGTCACCTGAGTTCCCATAAATTCAGCCCAGGAATCTCAACATTGAAAACAAATGCCTTCTGTGTGGATGCTGCTAGTCTGAAGAAATTCATGCATTGCAACACTGGTCAGAAGGGCCCAGCAGAGATTATATTACCCGAGACTTCTCAGAAAACAACAACTGAATGAAAAACTGTTGGTGACCTTCTACCGCTGCACCATAGAGAGTATCTTAACTTACTGCACCACCCAATTGTACAGTGGCAGATAGGAAAGCATTCCAGAGGGTTAACATCATTGCCTAGAAGATCATTGGTTGCCTCTCCCCTCTTTGGAAGAGCTTTATAGCTCCCGCTGCCTTAAAAAAGTTCAAAATATTCTCAAAGATCCATCTCATCCTGGGCACTCTTTTTTTGAACTGTTACCATCTGGCAGATGGTACAGAATAATAAAAACAAGCACAAATAGGCTGAAAAACAGCTTCTATTCCAGGGCAATAGCTCTTTTGAATTCTACTGTATAGTGCAGTGTTGGTGTGGTGTTGCGGGTTTTCTGTTCAATATGTGTAGTGTGAAGGATGTGTGTTTGTGTTTATTTTCATGGTCATGATAGAATAGAATAGAATACTTTATTGGCCAAGTGTGATTGGACACACAAGGAATTTGTCTTGGTGTAAATACTCTCAGTATACATACAAGAAAAGATACATTCGTTAAGAATCAAGAGTCATAATGTACAACACTTAATGATAGGCATAGAGTATAATCAGCAATCAAATCATACTAGGAAACAGTCAATATAAATCATAAGGATACAAGTGACAAAGTTACAGTCCTACAATCACAAGTGGGAGGGGATGGGTGATAAGGAGTGATGAGAAGAGCAAAGTGCAGACTTTGTAATAGTTGAACAGTGTTGAGGGAATTATTTGTTTAGCAGAGTGATGGCTTTCGGGAAATAACTGTTCTTGTGTCTAGTTGTTCTGGTGTGCAGTGCTCTATAGCGTTGTTTTGAGGGAAGGAGTTGAAACAGTTTATGTCCAGGATGTGAGAGGTCTGTAAATATTTTCACAGCCCTCTTTTTGACTCGTGCAATATACAGGTCCTCGATTGAAGGCAGGTGGGTAGTAATTGTTTTTCTGCAGTCCTAATTACTCTCTGTAGTCTGTGTCTGTCCTGTTGGGTTGCAGAACCAAACCAGAGAGTTATACAGGTGCAGATGACAGACTCAATCATTCCTCTGTAGAACTGGATCAGCAACTCCTTGGGCAGTTTGAGCTTCCTGAGTTGGTGCAGAAAGAACATTCTTTGTTGTGCTTTTTTGATGACGTTTTTGATGTTAGATGTCTAAAAATGGATCATTTGAGATGCAGTCATAGGTATATAGGGAGAAGTGGAGAAAGCACACAGCCTTGGGGGGGCCTTGTGCTGATTGTACAGGTATCAGATGTGATTCTGCCTAGCTTCACCTGCTGCTTCCTGTCTTTTAGGAAGCTTATGATCCACTTACAAGTGTGTTCAGGTACCACTAGTTGGTTTAATTTACTTAGAAGAGTGTCTGGAATGATGTGCACTGAAGATGGTGTTTGATTTTGTTGTACAAGGTGCAATGACAAAGTAAACTAAACTAAATCTGATTCTCTCCCAAACCTATGATTTTTATTATTTACCTGTCTCTGCAGGTAAGAAACCCAGTTTGAAGTACAAATGTGTGTATTTAATATATAATGCAGTAAATCAATATATACATATATTATGATGGGGATGATGGGTGAGGCACACACTAGAAGGGAAATGTATACAGATAGGCATATTTTTCTAAGCTTGACCGATCCAGAGCTCCGAACCCTGGATCCCAGCCATTTCAGCTGCAGTGTGCCCTCTGCTGTCTTTTAATCAAAACACGATTCCCTTCCTTCTGGAATCCACAGCAGTAGAACCATATTTGCCGGGCTTTCACCCAAACCCAGGTTGCAGCTGAAAACAGGCTTGAGCTCAGGGGAATAAACCCTCATCACTCCGTCTGGCCGAGCAAAGAGGTGAACCACGCACTTCCCCTGCTGGAGCTTCCAGCAGAACAATCAATTTAAAATGATGTCACCTGGCCAATGTTGAAAAATTAAACTGAGTGATGCTGAGAGGAGACGAGAATTGACGGGTATTAGGCGGAAGGTTTTGCAGTGTTAAGAGGTGACATGTGAAAGAGAGTAGCTCTAGGCATATATAAAGGGCTTTGAATCGGGAAGCTTGACATCGCAGCACATTGATGAGATGAGAATGCAATTCCCTGCATTTACACTCAGGGGTGGGATTCTACAGATTCACGCCTATTCGCTAGAACCGGTTGCTAACATTCTAAGCAGTTCGGAGAACCGGTTGTTAGAAGAAATAACTGGCTAATCCTGTAAGGAAGGCAGGAAGGAAACATTCTGGTGTTGCTTACAGAAACTGCCTCTCCGTTAACCCTTATTACATTCTTGGCAGGACTAGACTTCCTGTCTCTGGAACTTCTCTGGAAATTTTTCCCCTCCTTTGCTAGTACTTTGCTTGTGTGGAGTGTCCACTCAAAGTTACACTGGCACTGAAAAAAGTAACTTATAACCATTTTTCACACTTACGACTGTTGCAGCATCCCCAGTTACGAGAGGCCAGGCAAGGAGATGCATGCCTCGATGTGAGTGATGTTGAGTTGGCCACGTCCACCCAGTCACATGACCACCAAGCCATGCCCACCAACTAAGCCATGCTCACAGAACCAGTTGTTTTAAAAAAATTGAATCCCACCCCTGTTTACACTGTTGCAGCATAAATATTTGTTATTGCATGCAAAGCAAGCTTTGAAGATTGGGAAAATGCTTCAGTACCATAGTAGTTCCAAGAGGCCAATCTGCAAGCATATCTGTGTGCATGGGTTAAGTATGAGCAAGTCTTTACACTTTGCACATGCTCAACAATGCTGTCACTTTCACAGCCCCAAGACAGCCAAACCCAAAATATGTTATAGTAGTTATGGTACTGGCCTATAAGCAAAGAAACCCAGATGCTAGTTTCCCTTAATCTACTGGATAACTTTGACTTGTGTTCTCTCAACCCAATCAATCTCTTAGGGTTGTTCTTGTGAAAAAAAGCCCATATCTTTTACTGCATTTATGTCTACTACTGTATACCAGACACACCTATTATCAGGTCCAAAATAAACCTGTAAATCTAGCAGAACCGGGACAATGTTTCTAAAGTCGTTTCATGAGAGGAACAGCAGCAGCTTGATCTTGGGTCAAATGGAGTAAATATTTGTGAATAGTATAGTGATTATATCACTAGTGCTATCTGCAATCCTCATGGTCCACTGTGTCTGATATCTATTCAGATTATTTAGGTTGTTATAGCTCCTGTTTGAACTCAGTAGGATCCTGATCTCTGATAGACCCACTATAATGACTGTACTATGTTGAAAGCAAATGGAATTTCAAGTATGATCCTTCACCTCTTGTAGGAAGAGAAACTCAAATGGCAGGATGGATTATTCTATAAACAATTTATTTCTGCAGATGTAAAATGTCTTTGAATAACAACTGTTTTTTTTTCACTGCCTTGCTGTTTTGCAGTTCACAGCTCAAGTACTATTTTGATGTGACATTTTTGCTAAATTAAGATATTATAAATTCCACATGAACACTTGCATATGTTGCTACATACATTCCTCCTAATATCTGCTTTTTCAAAGGCACGAGCTTGCTGAAAGTAATTTTTTATAATGTGCATGTAGTCCAACTGATTTCTGATGCTTTTATGAAAATTCCAGAATTTGCTTTATCCATTAATTCTGATTTTTATAGAAGGGTGGGAGAGTTCCTTTAAATATTTATACTTTCCATTCACAAGTCACAACTCTGTGAAATGGAGATTGGGGACATAGGTCCATTAATGGCTACTGGGCTGTAGAACTATTTCCAGTTGAGTTTTCAAGACCAGTTGTCTGAGGTAAAGTTATACTTGAAAACTTCCAGCCTGGTTCTGCTACAATTGGAGACCCTCATACATGTACAGTGTGGATAGTTCAAATATATACCTAGATTTTATCCAAAGATAAATTAACTCAAATCAGGCAATTCAGTGTTTTCAGGATCTAAGGCAAAGGCAGACAAGATGCATAGCTCAGGATTGATGTGTTAGATTGTTGAGCGCTAAACTTGGTTTTATTATCCATCCAAATAATCTTCAGTGCTATGTTCTTAACATCAGCATTACCCCTCAGGACATCTTTGAAACATCTGATAATTTTTCATTCTAAATTCCTGACTAGAAAATATTTGTGAGAACTTGGGGCCAATACTGATATCTTCCTGGTTATCTTTTAGTAAATGGTCAGAGTTTGCAGGCTTGCCCACAAGTGAAGTGAGTGACTCAGCTGTGCCATTGTTTACTTTAGCAGATACCAAGTAGGCTCATGATGAGCTACAGATACAAAAGCTGATATGATAGATGAAAAATACAACCATCTTGAGAGTGGGCACAGTTGACATCTAGCAATTCCATCACTACCATAAACAGAAATCTATGACTTATGTAGCTTCTTTGGGGAACTTAGTTGTTCTAATTGAAGTCAATACCACACCAAGGAAGATATTAGGTTAATCTTCCTTCCAAGGTTAACATCAGATCAATAATCAAGTAAATAATATCTCAATCAAAAAACTGCCAAAGAGCCAACAGCAAACATCCCAACCAAATAATCTCTAAGTCCACCCCCACCAACACTGATAGGGCAAGCCACCAGAATATAACTGAAAGCATATAGCACTCCTTACTAGCACTGATGATGTTACCTAGTTTGGTTAATGAAATATCTGCAAGAAAACAAGCAAGCTGAGAGAGCACCAAGGACTCCTCATGTCAACCCTGAATTACAAATATTCTCCTTTACAAGGAAGATATCTTGGAATTTCTAATTAAGGAGCAACTCTTGACTGTCTTGCCTGAGGAAATGCAGAGATGGCTAAGGGAATATCATCTAGAAATATGTGATAAGAACAGAAAGAATAGTTCCACAATGGACAATTCAAAAGGCGAGGTCTGGGAAGCACATCTAAGATAGTAAGCATCCTCCCTCAAACCTTTTGAGTTTTGAATAGCCCCATCATAGATTCAGACTAGGTCTCCTTCAGATCTCTGCATGGAATTTCCCCCTTGGCTGATCTTAAGCAATATCAGTCTGTAGGGCATGTTAAAATAGTTTAGAGTCTTAAACCAATTCTTTTTTTTAGAAAGGGGGGAAGAACATATAACATGTTAATGAAGTGTTTGGTGCTGTTACTTTAGGCTTATCTTTTTAGCAAGTATCTTCTTTGGAGAGTCCTTAACAAGCCAATGCAGCTTTTAATGACAAAAGAAGATTGTGGCATTATCATTCATGAGGAACTTGTCAGGGATTATTTAGAAAACTTAAGTGCCTAGGGTAGAGAAAATATTCCAAAATTCAGGGAGGAAATGGTAGTGGACCTATCTTTTCATACTTACTTAGTCATTACATCATATTTGTCTGATGACCTTTGACAGTGAGAATCTTGCAATCAAATTAAACCTTTTAGTGGAGAAAAATATTAGTCATTTAACTGGATGGAATAATGGTCATGATAAAGATTAGAGAGCATGCTAATACATGGCAAGCAGCTTCCATATTTTTTTCTTTCTTAGCCATTCTCTATTGCCTAATGGGGACCAGAAGATTCTAATTTAACCTAAATTAGGACTACCAGATCTGGGAGTAAAAACCCAGATGCAGCAAAAGTTAGGTGGTTTTTTTAAAACCATCTATTAATCATCCAGATGTTTGCAGTCCGGATTGGGTATATTAACTGCTGGAGGTAATGGCTGGATTCATACAATAAGCTAACTTATTTTGTTTAATTTTGATAATTAACAAATTATCATGACGCAAACCATGGTAACATAATGAGAACTGCTATGGACTGACATGTTATACAGCTTCATTAGGAATTTAATTTAATAAAGGAATTTGGATCTTCTTTGACTCAATCAAAGACTCCAAATATAATACCATTCTGACTATCATGTTGTTAGATTAAATATTATACTGAATATTTTATTTACTAGACTTTATAAATTTATAAATACACACTCACGAACAATAGTCAGTTTGGTATAGTGGTTAAGGCATCAGGTTAACAATCGGAAAATTATGAATTATATGCCAGTGGTAAACCACTTCTGAACAACCTTGGCAAGAAAACTACTGGGACTTGTCAAGGCAGTCTCCAAGAAATGAGCACAACTGATTGGAAGAAAAAAAAAACACATTAATATTATTACTGAAAGTTTTGCATATTCAAGGAATCACGTGATATCCGTATCTATGGCAAGGATTTAAAATATAGAACTAAGATTATTTTATAAACAACCAAAGTTTTACAAAAGAATGTATGGTTTTTGAATTTTGTGGAATGTTTTTATTTCTGTGCTAATTTAGCTGATGAAAAGTTCTGTTAAAGCATGCATTTCTTAATAGTGTGAGGTTGCAATCTCTTCCTCATAGAGTAATACATAGCTGCAATTGTTTATTTAGTTTAAGAGGCAATGATAGAGTTACGTGGACAGTGCTTTCAGTATAGAATTTGGATTGCCAGGGGGCATTATTGAGATGGTCTGCTGACTTCTGGCAGCAGATTGGATGCAAGGAGTCTTTTCTACTCCAAGTATAAAGCAGCAAAGAGCCATTTCTTAAAAAATCTAGCAAGAATCCATTTCTTTTCTAACCAGATGTGTTAGAATTATCATTTTAAATTTCTAATCACCATGGCAATCTCATAAATCTGCACACTAACAGTTTGAGACATACTATATCTGTGAAGATATACAGTAAACAAATTTAAATCTAATTGGATTTTAAAATGAATAATTGATGCATCAGTATGATGTATTACTAAGAGATAAACCCTATTATATTTAGATTGATTCCCAGGTACATGTATCAAATTTTTGTGTATATTTTGCAGGTCATTTTGGTGTTGGTGAAGTGTCCTATGAAATGTCCAGATCCAATGCCAGTGGTTTCAGTTGGAGCTTGCAGGTGATTCAATTCCCAAAATATTTCATATGGTGAATATATTAATAGCTTAGCTTGCTCTGAAGCACATTTTAAAAATCAGAACCATGGGTTTATGGCTGAACTACAAATTAATAAAATTATCAATTCCCAGTTGTGAGAAATGAAGAACTATAAATTCTGATTTCAACATTAAACTTCTTTTAATGTGCAAACTAGAAAAAAATAAAGCTTTAATAAAAAAATTACAAAAACATTTTTTTCTCTTAAAAAAACTAACATTTACATGTGCAGCTATAACCATTGCAAAATTCCAAACATGCAGTTTTGGTACGTCAACAGTGTTAAAGGGATTAAAATTGGTAGTGTTAGAAGACCCTGAAATACTTACGATGTGCTTGACAGGAATTTACAAAGAACTAGATGATGAAATTAAAAAACTTCTACTTGCAGTACACTCAATTGGATTTTTGTCCCATCTTCAAAACACAAGATTCTTCCATTCTTAGCCACATCAGTTTTTAAAGTCACCATTTCAAAAGTTTGTCATGTGCTGCTGAGAACTATTGTCTGACAAACACAAACTGTAAATTTCCTTGGAAATGAGGCCAACTTTTCCAAGAGAGCTAATTCAGATGAGTTAAATCAAATTCCTTGTATTTCTGACCAGGGTGTCTGCTAAGCCAAGTCATTCTCTAGGTTGTATCTTGACTCTGGTGATTATTTTTGGAAAACAATTCTATTTTCAGGAAAACAAACATCCTAGGACAAAAAGGTCTAATAGAAAAGTTCCAATGAACCGTAAATATTATTGTGAATTTTACCATCCCTTATTGAGGTAAAAACAACAACACACACACAAAATTGACAGATCAACACCTCTATCACAGTTTCAAATACACAATTTTCAAGATCTCCACGAAAGAGGCACTAGATTGAAGGCCTTTAAGGTGACATTCCATTACACATTACCTAGAAATTTCCCCAAATTTGTAAAAAATCTCATCCATCATTCATTAGCTAATATATGACTGGATAAGCTTCCATCCATATGATTTTTATGCATAATCAATTAAAGACATTTTTGCACTTAAGAACATGACTGATCAACCTGAAAGCGAGATTTATTTTTTTATTGTTTAAGGACATTTGTAAAATTGATATTTACTAAAGACATTCTGTATCCAGTTGCAGAGCCTCAGCTATCTGAGCAGTTCATTGAAATATAGGCCCTTCAATTGAGTGTGCAAAACATTTTGAGATCGGACCATTCCATCCTTGAAATGTTCCATTTTGACGTGAGAGCATCTCTTCTGAGAATACAAAAGGAGGTCCAATCTTGAAACTCATTTAAAGATCAGACAGCTTTCGGTATATTCAGGTATCAAAGTGTACTGACATTGAAGCATTTTGCACATTTCTATGGTCAATCACATTTTGATTTCTGAGGAGGGTGAATTTCCACTAGCTTTTGCTGTGTGATTGTCTAGCTTTCTTCTGACTGTGGTATCAAGAAGAAAATATTTCTATTATCATTGAACGTTAGAACTTTGCTGCTCTTCTCCCTTCCCTTCCCCTGGATGATTTTAGAAATTAACAAATAACAAAACATTCAAACAGGTGAACTGAGCTACTGAAGGCATTTTTGCTTTGATCAATATTTAGGATAACTGCCTTGTCATCAGAAAGTGGTTCTGGCTTCTAGAAGACTCCAGGGCACAGAACATTTCCCTGATTTAGAATTATTTCTTAAAAAATTATTTGCACATTCAAGTCAGCTATACTGTGTTTCTCCCTAGGATTCAAGTCAGTTAAAGGATTCGCCCATGTCCTGCGTTGTTTGCTCCACACTGTACTGTGGTTCCAAACTGCCTGTGCATTCACAATACCCGGCCTTTCGCTCTTGGCTCCCTTGCCCTGAATTCCGTTTTGCATTTTTTCCACACAATGAACAACGGCTTGATTCTTCTCGCATATGGGTCCTCATGTGGTTCACCAGGTTGAATTTGTGCAAGAATCTTTTCCCACATTCAGTGCACTGATGGGGCTTGACCCCTGTATGTACTCTCCGGTGTCTAGTGAGGGTAGATTTACGTGAGAAGTTCTTCCCACATTCAGGGCAAGGGAAAAGTGCCTCTTGTTTGTGCAAGGGCTGTTTTTTTGAAGCTAGCTGACTGTTGGGTATCTGGTGAGCAAAGGCAGCCGCTTGCAAATTGGGAAGAAAGCGACTTCTCTGTCTTTTTGAACTTTCCTGTAACGGATACTCTTCTTCATTTTTAGTCTGGATTTCATCACCTGCTGGATTAAAAGAGAAAAAAGAGACTGATTTCCCCCCCCGGCAGCCATTGTAATTCCACAACAATTTTGCAAAATAAAATACGATAAGAAAGAGTAGAAGACCAGAAGTTTATGGTTGAAGAATTATTTGAACTTGGATCTTCTTAGTCCCAGAGTGACTCTCTGGCCCAATTTGGTCCCTTCAGATACGCTGTTTTTCAATCCCATAATCCCTAACTAAATGACTGTATTATCAGAGTTGACCCAAGATATTTGGAGTCTCAAAAAACCTTACCTACTGAGGAGGCATGCTCATTCAGCTCTTCCTTATTTTCTCTGCACAGAACCTGCTGGGTATCTGAGACCACTTGCTCACTTTCTGGTAAATTCACAGACTCCTCAATCATATATGGCCCTAGCACCTGAAACAGCAGTTAGACACTATTCAAGGCAAGGGAATACACCAAGCAGAGGGATACAATATTGTCAGGGGAAGGTAGAATGTAAGCAGGAAAATAGCAACATATGAGAAACATCTTCAATCACCTTTAGTGACTAGGGAAGCCAGTGGTGTAAGATAGATTCAAATATATCTGACTGTATAGGTGTCAATCCAGGAAAAAACACTTTACACGTGCTGAATTTAACTTAACCTGGGAGTCACCAAATCCTAACCAGACAATGCCAATTCTGGGCTGGATGCTGGATGTCACTATCACCTTGCAAAATGCATGAAGTCTTTTATTTCTGGTAGTTTAGAATTCACACTTGCTTGACATAAATGAACAAAACTTGATTCTCTCCAAGAGTCTTCTGGTATTATTTCTTTGAATTTTAATAGTGTATAAGGTTGCCTGTATCAGCTGGCATTCATTTAAATCATTCAGGTTCTCTCAGAATGCTGCTCTGCCCTAAAGATAGGAAACACTTTTTCTAGTGAAGGAAAGGGACGTCAACACTTGTGTGGTTAAACAATGTAAGACAATAAATGCTCCATGTCGCTTCCTCACTTTCAAGTTGTTTTCTCTTTGTGAACAAACAGAAAATTTAAAAAGCAGAAATTGAGTAAGAGCTAAATTTCAGCTCAGTGCAATAAATTTTCATAAATCACTTTCATTACATTTAAAGAATAGTTGTATATATAAACAAAGTAAGCACCTTTTTTAAACTATTAAAACGAACATAGCATTAACCTTTTTGGAAAGGGATATGATTTTGACATTATGGATGTTATCAAATAAATACTTGCCAGTGAAATAGGTGCTCAAATGGCCTTTGTAAAACTTGACCATTTCTATTATGTAAATCAGAACTGAGCCACCCTTTTAAAAAAATACACAAAAGAAAAAGTTTCTCATGGGAACTGGGCACTACTTAATAAAATTGTAAAAACAAAAACAAAAAAAGGGGGGAATGTTTCAGCAACAACTAGCTCCCTGAAGGTAGGTAGTGTCCCCCCCCCCCTCCCCTCCCCCCCCCCCCCAGTTCCTGGATACTATCATGAGTCTAGGTAGAAGCTGGTGCTTTTAAAAGTGATTTAAAACTCTAATTGCATGTTAGGACATAAGCTCCCAGGTTTCATGCTGGAAAGTGCTCACCTGTTGATCCCATCTCTCATTGTCTTGCTGCTTCAGAAGAAAATGTTCTGCCAAGGTTACTGCCTGAATGCAGGTCTTTGGACGATATTCTTGAACCCATTCCTGCATTTCCTCGGGCAAGATAGTCAGAAACTGCTCTAGGATCAACAATTCTACAATTTGTTCCTTAGTGCGGCTGTCTGGCTCCAGCCAGCGATGGCAGAGCCCTCGCAGCCGAGAACACACATCACGGGGCCCTTCAGCCTCCTGGTAACGGAAATGCCTGAAATGCTGCCTCTGCCTCTCCAGACTGACAGCATCTTCTCGTAAGATTGCAGCTTTTACCTTTCCATAATCTCCACTTTCTCTGGGATCCAAGCTGTTGTAGGCCTGGAGGGCAGCTCCATTGAGGGCTGGCACTAACCGGGTCACCCACTGTTCCCGAGGCCATTTGCAGGCCTCAGCCACATCTTCAAAAGTAGTCAAGTAGGTCTCAATATCTTCTGTTAAGGTGAGTTCTGGTACTTGAAGATTCCTCCATGCAGGTGATTGGACTGGGGTAAGTTCTGGAGTTGGCAATTCTTGCCCTTGGATTTCCCAGCGTTGAGGTGCTTCTAGTCGTTCATTCCTGGTTTGCTGTGGTGTTACTAGCCGGATACCTCCTCCTCCTGTTCCTACTGGTACAATACGATATGTTTTTACAGAGCCTTCTGACATTCCTAACGAATCAGAGCCTGCTGGGTCTGGTTCTTTTTCCATTTTCACCAATGGTTGCACTCGTTGTTCAAATGGTGTCTGACACGGAAAGTACTGGGCCACCATATTCCGCTTTGCTGCTATTTTTCTCCTCATTCTTTGTTTGGATTTGGAGTTTATGTAGGCTTCTGCTGAAGCTTCCAATAACTGGTCTGCCAACTAGAAAGGGTATCAAGTGGAGAAATTCCTTGAGTGGTTTGGATCTCAAACTAGAGGGATAGACAATGACACAACAAACAGGAATATGAACACAGGTGGTTTTTTTTTTTAAAAAAAACTAAGTTACAATAGAACTACCTATTTTAATATATTAATTGATGACATCAATACATAAAGATTTTACAATTACATGCTACCAGAACAAATCAGACTTGACTGTCCAATAGGATGTATAACTATAATTAACATCAAAAGAAAGCTCGATATGACTAGAGAGGTAGGTTACAAAAGAGTACATAAAGCTAGTATTTGAAAGATAAGATGACACATTTCACATGTCTTTTGCTTTTTCCAAGCTAATCAACCTGCATTAAAAATTATTTAAACTAATAGTACCGTAAAATGACTGTGTGGACTTTCAGGTTAGCTAAACTGGAGAAAGCAGGATATTTTGATTAAAGTTATCTGTTCAGCTATTAAAACTACAATCCTTTGTATATTTGAATTCAGTAACATGGCCTAGAAGACAGGAGACTGAATTCTATCTAGTTCTGCTTTGAAGCTGTACATGAAAGTGTAACTTTGGGCTAGTCATTCTCTTTCACTTGAATTAATCTCACAGGATTGTTGTTGGGAAAATAGGAGGAGGAAGTAGGATTAGATATGTTCACTGTCTTGAGTTATTTATAAAAAGATAATAGAGGCAAGATAAAAATTAATAAATATAATTCTTCTGGAAATATATATTCCAGAGGTTCATAGTTTTCTTCAGATTGAAAACTTTGCAAAATCTTTTCTTGACAAGCACCCTAAAATGTTTCAGTTTGCAATTATCTGGTGATACTTGTAACATACTGTATAAGAATTCAACTTTCCCCTTTTGATGATTATATTCCAATTTTATTAAATGTAATACTTTCTATGTTATAATATCTCGAGAATTGAACTAAGCATGGCATGGAAGAGAAAGAGGAAAGCCAATCAATGAGAAAAGGGTAAAGTCTAAATTTGATTGGAATAAAGAAGCAGAAAAGAATGGTTTAAACTATTATTAGTTTTATGTTACTTTCCATAGTTTTTATAAGTTATGGTTTGAGGCCAACTCATTTATAATTTATCATAGTTTATGTTAAAAACTGTTGTACTAGCCTGTGGGCTGGAAATTTTGCATCCTCTAGATGTTTTGTCCTGGACCTTCCTAAAATTGATTATTCTAAGTTGTGATATCTTGAATAGTTTGAAAGGGGGACTAGGTACATTTTCTACCATCTAGAAAAATCAATGTTTGTCTCTAGGGCAGCATGACTCTAAACATCAACTGCATGATAATATCTTGCTTCTGATCAGGGCAATCTAGTTGTAATAAAAAAAATGCCGGACTAAGTTGGGCCCTTGTCTTATCCAATGGGGTTGTTCTTATATTCAGTAGTTATTTAAGTTATATTGCCCTATGTTGATAGAAATGATGGAAATTGAAATCCAAAACATATAGAAGCATTTCACATATTCCACATCAGAAACTATGAACACAAACTTTCAAATTCTTCCATCTACATGAAAAGAAATATTTTAGTTCTTATCAGATATTGTGTTAAATCAGATTTTGTTATATAGGCTTACTGAAACAAGAAATTATGTATTGTCTTTGCCATTAGTTCAGCTCTGAATTCTACTGGCTGAATGGTGCACAGGGCATTGAGTCAAGAAATGCCAAAACTTTTTCAACATGTACCAAAAACTGCATAAGGATTGACCAGATTTTTTTAGTTGGTAATTCAGTGGTGTGAAATCATGGTGGAATTAACTATTATACATTCTAACAATAATATATAATGCAATCAATCATGTTTACAGTAATAGTATTTTTAGCTACCTCCATTAAAAATGTGCCAGCTTTATCCATTATCCTGAGATTGATGTTTAAAAAAGAAAAAAAGAAAATTTTTGGGAGGTGGCATTTTTAAAATATCAATCTGATTTACTCCTATTATATAATCTGTGACAAGTGGATGGAAGCTTTTCTATTCAGGCTGACCAGCAAGACAAAACTAAGAATTATATTAAATCTTAATTTACAGATCATAAATAGCCATCAGTAGAAATGTAACAAAGATAAAGTGCCTTTTCTAAGCATGCAATGCTGGTCAAAAGTAAATTTAGGATTTACAAGCTTATGCCTCACTAAAAGTGAATCCATCTTTCCAAATCTTCCTTGCTTGCTGTATGGAGAAGAAAGGGACCAAAACCCTTAGAAAGCTGTAATATATCTGAATCTAAGTAACTCTTAGAAGTATCCAATTTTCTTTAATAGGGACTTTAGACCACCATACCAATATCTAATTCTCTGCAAACAAATTCATTGTTCCAAACAGCAGTTTTGCTAACTAAGGCATACTCAAGATATTAATGAAAGAAGATTTCAAATAGTTTCAAACAGACAAAGAATATTTTCAAGTGTAAGTACAATGCCAGGATAGATAGGGAAGAGGGGAGACAAAAAAATGAAATCTTACTAGTTTTGAGTCTTCTACTCATCCAGCTTTGCCAACCAAAAACTGTAGGTTCAGTCCAGCATGTGCTTGCTTGCCCACTCCAAATGCTTTACTTGGTGTCAGTTTTTTTAAAATACTTTTTAAGACCCCTCCTCAAAGACTTAGTTGACTCCTGCCTTTGTAGCCCTCACTTTCTTGAACCTGTTATTCAGGAATCCCACCCCCCATCTCAGAGCATGGTCAGATTAACAGAGTTGTGCAACAGACTAGGCCTCATTGCACCATGTGGTCTCACAACCCATTTTAGATTTCCCACAAACAGTGGGAAACTGTTAGTATGCATGCCATTGGTGTGCTTGCAAACAAAAGCCCAGCCCATAACAGCATTAACTTCACAAAAGCAAGCCATCAGCTATCCAGACTGCCTGGCTCCTTCTTTTTCCAGAGGTCTGCCCAATAAATATCTTTATCTTTACATGCACATCATTTTTATATGATGCACCATTCTATAGCCACAGAATCTAGCACCTCCATTTTAAAAAAATGTATAAGCTTGCAGTTGGGTCAGACTGATCCTGAAATAAGAATGCGCTCAGAAACAATATAAGTAACACCAACAGAATATAATGTTCCTAGAAAGAGAAAAAGGGTTGAAATTATCTAATGGAACACTTCTCAATAGGAAAAGCATAACTAGTTGATTTCAGGCTGTCATGAATATTTGAAATATCTATTCACAAGAAGTTTTACTTTTACTGAAGCTTATTTGCTAGTAAAAGCTTTTAGGAGTGATGTTTATCTGAATATAACATTAAAGACATCATTATATTCACGTACAAGCCATGGTTAACTGAACCATAATGAACTCAATCCAGTTTCCCCCCCCCCTACAAATATCAGACTGACCACAGGGGTTGATTTCACACAGCAGGCTAAAATGAGGTGGGCTATTTACTGTGCAAAACACAATTGTTATCAGACTGTCCAGATGACTCAAACAAGTGGAGTCAAATGACTTGCCTCAAGGACAGGTTTAAATTACAATGATAAAGCAATTTAAGATAAAGGCCCCTTTGGACAGAACTGATTCTATGGAAATGTGTTACATCCATCAAATTTCTCTTGGCAACAGTACAGATGTAGTTCAACATTTCCTTCTTCTTGGATATTTTCTTAAGTAACTTCCCTCAAAATTAAATAAAACAGAGGCCAAGCTGCCCTGATCTAGATTTAAGACAATTAGATACAAAAGATACTAGAACTACCCTTGGAGTGGAATGGAATATGAGGGTGTGTTTCAGAAAGTGTGTGTTGGGATGGGGCAGTATATAAATCTGGATAGTAAACACGTATCTTCCACTGATGTAATAAAGCCATAACCGTAGATGCCCTTGCTTAAGTATAAGCTCTACTGAAACAATATGGTTTGTATCTAGTAGGCACTAGAAAGGGTTTGCCCTTTTAAAATACAAAATCAATTAATCCAGCATTCAAAAAGATGTTTTATCATTGCCCACCAGCCTTTAATTTCACTTATTTTACTTCTGTACCTCCATCCTAAGCCTGTGTACAGTATTGAGGAGCAAAGCTCGCTGCGTTCAATTAAGTCCCGAAATATAACGCAGATTATATTTGTCTAAGAGCCAGACTGAAGCTGCGTGCTGGGAGGAGTATTATCTGCTCCGCCCATTGATTATTAGGAGGAAGATTAAAAAAACCAAACCCCTGAACAGTACAGAACTCCTGAAGAATATTTCTGATCACTCCTACCCCAAGATCCCACCTTTCCCTTAATGTTAACGACTGTGACAAGTTCCTTCACCCAGCTTATCTTCCAAGCCAACAGTGGATTTTTTAAACTAGCACACATTTATCATGTCAGCAGAGTACTTAGACCCTTTCTCAATTTGCTTCCTCCTTCCCTTTCCCAGCCAGTTTGCAGGTTGCACAAAAGTCTTTATCAGGAAGAGATCTCTGATCTAAAACGGGAAGTGACCGGATCCTTTAACCTAAGCCCTTCACCTACGGCGTTACAGCTGATGGAGCAGTTCCAAAGAGAAGAACTATACCTTTGTCGAGCCCTGGCTGAAATTAAGTTCTGCCCAGCAGCGTGCACTCAACACCAATCCCAGTAAGATTCGCGACCATGGTTTCAAATAAGGAATCCTGGTAACGCAACTTTGCCCAAGGATGCCGCAGACTATTTCCCTTGAGCTTCTGCCAGCGGATAATTTCCAAATTAAAAAAAAAAAAAAAAAGGTGCCGGGGCTCAAAGCTGCCCGGAAGCCACTTCCCCCTGACCCGGGAAGTCCTTCCCCCTAATCATCCCAAAAATGTAGAAATTGACTTCAGTGATGCATTGCAGCGGGAAGGTATTTTGGAAATGTTGGGAGGTGGTTTTTTTTTTTTAACCCTTTTCTCTTCCATCCTTGGGTGCTTATTCATTTATTCCCGCCATTAAGGCTTTCTGTGCAGAAAAGCGGCTCCCGGTGTTGCGAGCAAATTCTCACAGTGGAAAGTAAGGTGAGAACGAGTGAAAGGGGCAGCGCTTTCAGGGTCCTAGAACCGTCTGTCACGATTAGGGAATTAAAACTCTTTTTAAGACGTTTAAGAGTTTAGTTCCCCAATTCCCCGATCCCGCAAGGCTTAGAGGATTCGGTGTAGAAGTTTTTAAGAGTGAGTTTGGGGTGAGGACACCAGAGAAGAGGAGGCTTGGAAGAAGACGGTAGGGATTAACTATACCACTTTGGTTATTGTGGATGTAGGAAATACAAATTGGAATATATTTCACATACAAATTTCATGCAGGTTGCATGTTTGTGTAGCAGACTTATAAACTAATCAGTGAACCAAACTTGGTTCAGTAATCCTGAGGTTTACTAATGGCTAACCCCATTTTTACCTCACTTTGAGAAGCCTGGACCTGCTAAAGAGGTTTGCTACCCACTCCTTGCTTTGGTTTGTACCCCTTTTTGGTTTTTCATCCAAAAAGCCTGAGTATTTCTATTAGACAGTTAATCTTCTTAAATGCTGTAGTGTTCTGTTTTAGGGAATCCTCCCCTAAAATATTTTTTTTTGTTTTTAAGATGGCCATTTTTCAAATTTAGTCTGTTGCTGTACCTTTAAGAGCAGTTTTATTGGCAGATGACAGTGCTTAGTTGGCCTTGGCTGATGTCAGAAAAACTAAGCAGACTTTGGCTCCGTTAGTAGTAGAATAGGCATTGGAAATCCAGCCATTATAGGTTAGACTATAACGTGGAAAAGAAAGAAGTCATCAGCTTCAAAAGACTCTCACGATATTGTATTTTAGAAATCATTTGTTTGGACCCTCAATTTCTGGATAATAAATGAAGTCCAAGATCACTGTCCTGTAGTTTGTTCAGGTCAGAATCAGTTTTAATTCCTGATTGTTTGCATATGAGCGGAGGAAGTGATTTTTGAGGAAGCAAAATAATTAACTGCAGCCATCTGATTTGTTTTGGATATCTTTCATAAGAGGTGACGGGATTCCCAGGAGGGAGAAAATAGTATTATTAGAGGGGGGGGGAATCACTTCTCATGAACTATGTTGCTTCTGGATGTTTTAGAACATATCTCCCATAAGTCCTAGCTACTGACCTGGGATGATAGGAGCTGCAGTCCGAAACTTCCTAAGGGCATCCTATTGAGTGTCATCTTTTAGGAAGGCATCTACTTCACACAATACTCTGTTGTAAGGATTTTTTGTCTTTATCTTTGCTCAGCAAGCAAAATACCATCTTTAAGTCAGTGTTTCAGTTCTCATAAGAAGCTAAGGCCTATATGAAAAATATTATTTATCTAAACCTAGCTCTCCTTGTAATTTGGGGGATCATTTTACTCTCCCAACTTACAGCATTTCCTGAAGGTGCAGGTTCTATGTCATACAAGCAAGAGAGAATGGCACCCAGTTATAAACTGGAAAGGTTGCATTGAATATTGGTAGCCTATTTGTATATTATATAGGTACAAGAGCTGTGCCTAAATAATGGTCTTCTTTATATTTTCTCTGTAGATATATACTGCTTGTATATTGCAATAGACCTACAAGAAAGGTTAATTTTTACAATGGAGACAAGATATCCAGTTTATTCAGGAAGAACAGGAAATGAGAGAAGAGGCCTTTCTACTTTGGGGGTGGAGTTGCTCAAAGTTCCCTTCAACTGGAAATTAAGGGGGCTTGGGTCAGATGGCAAGAGTTGGGCATTATGGAATATCCCTCCTCCAAAGTGAGATCAGCCTCACCCCTTATTTCCCAGAAATCCCTAAAGACCTGGCTTTGTTATCATGCCTAGGGTTCTCGGGAGACCAATGAGCTCTTGAGGTGGCTCATTGCTAATCCAATTATATGGGGCAGTTTATATGTTTGTGTTCAATATGTTTATTGTGTGTGTGTGTGTGTGTGTGTATGTATGTATGTATGTATGTATATAAAAATAAATAATTTTGCCACACACTGCCCAGAGTAATGTCTTGGGAGATGGCTGTATAAATTTGATAAATAATAAAGCATATTTCATCCAGAAGTACAATTTTCTCCTACTTTCCTTGTGTTCAGGAAGACAATGAAAATGACTTTATTTCAATGGGGCTTTGGGCTCCGGAATGATTTCATGTGTATCTCTATATTCTTGTGATTTTTTGTTGTTATTTGAATTGTTTTTCTCAGTGGGGAGATATTCAATTACATTGATTTAGAATCATGCATATAGGAGTGGTCTCTTGAGTAATCAAATACTTTGCCACCCCAGACATTTTGTGGGAGACATTTATTCTTGAATGCCCTGTCATCAGTTTAGACCCCTGCCTTAATATCCACTGGCCACACTAATGATTTCAATTCGTGCTTAGTAATATTGAGTGGGTCATAAGATTCTTCTGCTGAGGTACCGTAACTGAAATGATTGAGTGTGTTAATGTCTGGCTTTTAATTTCTCATTTTCCTAGGGATCTGCAATCTCTCTTGTTTTGATGAAATCCCAGAAGAGAAAATTGTGTGGAAACATCTCCCACAGGACTTTTTCAGTTAGGGAGCCTAGGTATCAAGGACACTGCAGAGTTATTGAGAGAGATATAAGAAAAACAACTTCAGCACACTCAAAAATGCCATCTAAGAAATGGTGAAAAACGAGGTCAAAACAGTAGAAATAAAAACCAATTTCAGTTATTTCCATATATCTCAGCAGACCTTACTGCAACCTTTTAAGGTAGCTTAGCATCTCTATTAAAAATTGAAGTCTAAAATTAGGGCTTTACCTAGTGCAACTGGGTGAACTCTGATTAAGACTAGATTTGAATGGGACCCCTGTCCCCCAAACTAAAGCTGTAGATTTAGTAAGATATGTTGTCATGGAGTCAAATCTGATAAGCTCTAATCATCCAAGTATAGAACTATTTAAAAATCTGAGCTGCAAAAATCTGAATGACTACTAGATGGCAACACAGACATACAGAAACCTCATTTTTAGTACCATCTACTGGTCATGCGAACTGATGGGTTGTAGAATATAATCTTTGGAGAAGCACCACTAACTCTCTTATGGGGATATTTAGACTTTTGTAGCTATTAATTTGCTTTACTCCAGAGCACTTTGGGATATTTTTTCATTAATTTTTAAAAATGTAATTATTACCCAGTTACTGTCCTTCTATTTTACCTTTGCTATATGTGGCAAAAGTCTAATTGTTATGCATATAATCTGAGATAATTTCAAAAATGATGCATTGGATTCCATTATTTGTACAACAGCACTGAACAGAGTGGCCTCTGAGCATTTTTCACATTTACAACCGTTGCAGCATCCCTGTAGTCATGTGGTCAAAATTTGGATTCTTGGCAACCGGTTCATATTTATGACGAGATCATGTGAACAGCTTTTGAAACCTTCTGACAAGCAAAATCAATGAGGAAGGCAGATTCACTTAATAGCCATGCTACTTCCTTAACTGCAATGATTCACTTAACAACTGTGGCTAAAAAGGTCATAAAATGGGGAAAACTCATAAATGTCTCCCTTAACATAAATTTTGGGCTCAGCTGTGATTATAAGTCAAGGACTATCTGCAGTCAAAGCCTATTAAACTGATTTAATCTGGGAACAAATCTGAACTGGATCACTTTAAAGAAGATTTAAGACTGTGGGGGAAGGTCTTGTTGATATCCTTGACCAAAGCTTATGTAGCCTTCTATTTAATAGGGTCTTATTATGCTTATCTTCTTAGCTCAGGCAATATTGGAGAGATGCTGCCATCTGCTGAGAGATTACATGCAATGTTATTTACAGGCTTTATCTTGACAATTTGAACAGGTGTGCCTATCCTAGAAAATTCTCATTTGTTTAGGAAAAGTATTTGACTTAAGGGTCTGTTGTAGCACATCTTGTCAAATAGTAGATCATTAATGCATCTTAGAAACTTTGTTAATTTCACTCCCTCAGTAATCTATTTCATTGAGGATGACCCCCACAACAAGTACCTGTCCAAAAAGTAAAGTCACATTTATATCCAAGAGAAAAACAAAGGCCAGTTTTTAATCACAGCATTAAATCTTTATGCAGAGTAGTTATTCTATTCATTATATAAATGGTATGTATACCATCTATTCAAGATGTCTGGGGTGGTTATTAGAGAATAATCACCTTCAAATTCAATAAATCCAAAATTCTTTGTATATTGATAAACTCCAAGTGTTGCATAATTCATTTTAAACCTATTGTTCCAATTTCCAAACTTTATTAACATATTTATGGATATTAAATCAAACTACAAAAATAGTGAGAGAAACTCATATTATATTTTTAAGCATGAGTGTACCTTTGAGTTATTGTTGACTTTTGGTAAAGGCTGGAGTAGACACTGCAGTTTGTTTTTTGGTAAGGTTTTTCAGCAGTGGTTTACCATTGCCTGCTTCCAAAGGCTAAGAGTATAATTAGCTCAAGATCACCCAGCTGTTTTGTGCCTGAAGCAAGACTCAAAACAACTTGATTTCTGCTTGATGCCTTAATCACTATACCAAAGTGGTTCTTTTTGTAAGCATCTCCTTCATTATTTTATATTGCCAGCGTAATAAAATTGACAACCAATCAGAAACATTATCTTAACATTATCTTTTTATTCTTAACTAGATCGTTTAATCCTTTATTGCTCTCTCAGATCAGTAAAAAATCTCATTTATTATAGGAATCCATCTCAGGCTTTGCTGGGATTAGGAATGCATCCCTAATTTTTAATTAGTGGAGGATGCATACATACTTATGTTCCAAGGTCTTAATATAAACTTTAACAAATTAAAGCAGAAATATTGGGGTGGTAGGTGTTAGTCTTAATTTTCATTCTTTCAAAAGTGATGTTTTCCCCCCAGGCACATATATATATATATATATATATAGCATGGAATAAATATAAATCTATTGGTGGGATAGATTTAGAATATAAATCTATTGGTGGGATAGTGTTTAGAATACAGTATTACCAGCAAACTCTGCACACAGGAGTTCAATCCTGATAGGGCTCAAAGTTGTCTCAGCCTTCCATCCTTCCAAGACTGATAAAATGAGGACCCAGACAGTTGGGGGCAATATGCAAATAATGCTTCAATATTGTAAACCTCCCAGAGAGTGCTGTAAAATGCTATAGGGTGATATATAAGCCTAAATACTCACTATTGCTACATTTGTGCCTAGAATGCTTGCATATCAATGCACCAGTAGAGCAATTTGTGATGCATTAGAACTTAGTGAGTTTGTAAGCAATGCACTGGTACTTTCAAGGGAATGACAACCCAGAACCTAGTAGATTCTAATGGAGGTTGTAGCAGATTACATTGCAGCAAGAAAAGAAGCAGAATAGATGCAGATGTCCCAGTTTCAGGCATAGGATGACACTGTAAACTCAGAGCCCAAATACCTGGGGGCTGACTCTGCTTCCCAGAACTTCATTGCCAGCATTCACACACTTAGCCAGTTGATCTCCTGTAAATGAATAGTCAAGAATCAGGATCATTCAACAATACCCACTTCAGTTTAAACAACATAATAGCATTTAGCACATCTTCCAATGTCCAAAATTCACATGAATCTAGATGCCCTGTAAACTTTAGGAAGTCAACTCTCAGAATTCTCAGCAGCGGCTATTATGGCTGGGGGAATCTTAAGGAACTGATCCATCAAAAAAGTATTCACCAAATCTCTTTTTCCATAAAACAAAGATTCCCTTGAATCAAATTCCTGGTTTGCCTCATGGACATTTCAAGGTAGCCTTGGCAATAATGTACAATTGATCCTACTGCCTTCTTTTAAGATGCTTCTTCAACTCTCAGTCTGGGAAGCAGTCCCAGGATTTCCCCATGGTCTCCAAGTACTAACAAGATGTGGTATTGATTAGTTGTTTCCATAATCACCCCAGGTAGATTAAGGACTGTCACTCACTTGTATTTCTTATCCTGAGATAGATTTCCTTTGACAAGCTGCTCTCAATACATCACCTGAATTCACTTGGAGCCAATGGACAGCTTTTCCTTCCAGCAGTTCCCATTCATCTCTCTTCTCTGCAGCATTCAAATGAAGCCAGAGAATAGCCAGCACTGTTGCCCATATATCTGGGGTCACCTGAAAGCAATGGTAGGGAAAAGATGCTACATGAGCCTTACATATTATTCCTGTACAGAAGTGCAAAATATTGTTTCCAAATGATGGCTAAAATAACTATTCAGTAACAAAATCAGAAATACAAGCGAGCTGTTATCCGGAATTCAAAACAATAGGTTGAAATAGATAATGGATTCCATGGATTTAACAATAGTTAAGACTCTATGTTTTCCATGGAGTGAAATTCAATTAAGACATCTTCCCTACCTTTCCAACCCCTGATTATTGGCAACCACCTCCAGGGTCTAGTCCACTCTGTGTCCTAATGCTGAGATAGCTTTGTTGAGTGAGCTAAATGCTCCGTAATATGTATGAAGTATTGAAGATGTTAAAATATTTTTAGGAAGGGCCACATAAGATGGCTGTGCCCTTCCATCCCCCATCATGGCAAAATCAGGGATTAAGGGCAGAGTAAACACGCATTGCCTTGTCTTCCTACCTGTTATGACAGCTCCTACATTCCTAAAAAATGCCTGCTTACTTTCTATCAGTGTCACAGGTTTTTTTAGTTTGTTCTGAACTCTGGAATTTGCTATCCTCTAGATTTTCTGGAATACAACTTTCACAATTTCTTGCTTCTATCCTTGCTACCTGCAATGGGTGATTTGATGCCCACTGCATTTGGAAGGTTCTAAAATGCTTACATGATTTTAATTCTGTAGTCCTTTACCTCAAATTAACTGGACATGGACTCAAGAAAGCTTTTTCTATCGATAGACAATAATAAATGAATAAAGCTTTTGCTGTTCATTACAGAAACTTACATGGGTTGGTGCTTTGTCTGAGATCTCAGCTTCACTCAGGTCTAGTATGGTGGCTAAGGCAGGCCCATGAGGCCAGGAGCCATCTGCATTCTGCAGGGATACCAACTTCAAAAGAGGAGATTCTTCTTCCTTAGTGCTGCTTCTTGAGCTGGTGAAAAAGGGGATCTTAGAAATGGAGATGTTCAAAACCCATCAAAGTTTACCTTCAATTTCCTCTTAGCTGGTTGTTTTACATTGAATGTGTCAACTTGCCTGTTCAAAGCTTTTGCTGGATGGGGTGATTTTCTCACTAAATACAGAAGCAAAAATCATAGTGTAAGAGTGGAACTACTATTATAACTCTAGATTATTTACTTATTTAATCATATCCATATAACTGATCATCTCACAAATGTTATCTTCACCTTTTCATTTGCTGTCCATCTTAACTTTTTACCAAAGAGACTACTCTTAATAAGGTGAAATCGTGTTTTAATAAAACCAAATAGGCTTTAAATAAAAGAACAAATCCATTCTGATATTTACATTTTATTTTTGAGTTGAGGCAGGGGAAAAAAGAAACAATGTTAATCCAGGTGTTGTATTTTAGCTTTTTTAACCAGAGCTGGAACAATGGAATTAGATCCTTTTTGTGTTATCTACAGGTAGTCCTCGGCTTACAATAGTTCATTTAGTGATTGTTCAAAGTTACAACAGCACGAAAAAAGTGATTTACGGCCATTTTTCACAGTTACAACTTTTGTACCATCCCCATGATGATACAATTTTGATCATGTGATCAAAATTCAGATGCTTGGAAACTGGTTCATACTTATGACCGTGGGAGCATCCCAAGATCATGTGATCTCATTTTGCGACCTCCTGACAAGCAAAGTCAATGGGCAAGCTGGATTCACTTAACAGACGTTACTAACTTATCAACTGCAGTGATTCACTTAACTGTGGCAAGAAAAGTTGTAGAATGGGGCAAAACTCACTTAACAAATGTTTCACTTAACAACAAATTTGGGGCTCAATTGTGGTCATCTACCTGTATTAATATGAAACCTTGAAGAGATTTAAAAACAGGATTTTGAAGTACAAGTCTCTAGATCTCACTTACTGGTTACTAAATTGCCCGTTTCATCCCTCCTCTATGTTTATCTTTTAAATCTGACTATCTGCAACATCAGACATGAAACTTTGGGTGATACAAATCCTAGGGCTCTGCTCAAAGATCCAATGTTGAACACTCATATTTTTCCACCCCATTCTACTAACCTCACAAAAGCAAAATATTGGATATCAGAAAATACAACATAACCTAAAACAAAGATATGCAACCAGGTTATTTGTAGGACCACCTGCCTCTCTCATTTGTGCTTGTGAACAGGTTATGTTTTAGGTCCCTTTGTCACCTGGCTGAATCGAAGAAACATGTCTTTTTTATGCAGTACCTGCATCTTGGATTGATTTGTGTCCTCCCCCCCCCCCCCCCCAAAAAAAAAAAAACCTTCAAGATTTGATTAACCTCAATCCTGCCAGCTTTTCAAAAGACACTAACAATCTGTTTTTCCCCCCTGGATATTTGGGATGTTAAATGTACCCATCTCAGAAGGCTGGCAGTAGGAAGTATTATTTGTTCTTATTGATATTACTGTTGATTATTTTAGGTTAGCCACCCAGGTTTGGTTTGGCAAGCTTGGGTAGTCATATAAATAAATGGAGAAGGAGAATCAACAGCCCCCAGGTCCGGAGGTGGTTGATGAAGAAGAAGAGGAACACTGGGTCTAGTGCCTGACGTGCGGCTGCACAAAAGGCAGAAAAGGGGAGAGCAGTGGAAAGCCCTGGCCGATCCTGGGGAAGGAAGAACCATCTCTGCTAGCAAGGCCGCACCTAATTCTGGGGATAAAAAGCAGGGGGCGGAGATGAGTAAGTGTGGCAGACAACTATTCATCTTCCGGCTGGCTGGACTTGTTAGTCTGCAAAAGAAACTTTTTGCCGGGGCTTCTGGCATTCCTAATAAAGGAATCTTTTGAGTTCACATCAGAGGGTTTGTTGTGTTTGGGAAGCTGGGTCAGAACAATTTTAGTCACCTTGCAGTTATTGACACAGCTACATTCCATGTTTGACATACGCAAAATATAAGGGACATTTGTCTATGGAGATTCTCAGTCATCCAGGTCATGGTTGTCCCAGAGGTGCTTTTTCAAGAGGCAACTAGACTTTCTGGTTAAAGAAAGTCTAGTTGCCTCTTGCAAAAGCACCTTTAGGATCATGGACATTTGTGAAAATGGCCTTTTAAAAAAATAGCCTTCCACTGTGATTATGGGAATTACCTTTACATTCCATTTGTGGTACAGCACATCTCTTCGCCCTCACATTGAAAACTGAACCTAACGACCGTGAGCCGAAATATGTTCCATGATCTGATTTGGCAGCTGTGGAAATTCCAAAATAAAACATCACAGGACAACTTTTGCAATAAAAGCTGTAAGTTAACGTTTCCTTCTGTGTCTTTCCAGTCCTTCATGAGCTCTGGATGGTTTAGATCAGTACAATATTTCTCAACTTCAACGTTTAAGATATTTAAAACAATTAGTCCCCTTTAATAATTTAAACAATATAATTAAAAGATGAACAGCGGTAGATGCAAGCATTTTGTATTGACTAGTCAGTACAAACTTACAATAGCACGGTTAAAATCAGCATAGAGATCTAGCGAGAATATTAATTAAATGTATAACGTGTGTGAGGAACCAACCAATGATAAACCTTACACCCATGAAAGGTGTAGATTGATACACCGCTGTTACTGCATGCACAAAGGATTCAATTGATTGATGGAAACTGCTTCAGCAAACCATAGAAAATGAGAGTTCCAGCAAATCATGGCCATAAGATGCCTTCTTTGGTTATCACGAGACATATACTAGCTAAGGGTCACCAAGTCGATCCAAACATCACGTTCTAAGTTTTATTGTGCCACAGGAACTCTCATTTTCTGCAGTTTGCTGAAGCAGTTGCCATCAATCGATTGAAGCCTCCTTTGCGTGTTCAGAAACAGCTATATCAATCTATGCCTTCTGTGGGTGTAAGGTTTGTCATTGGTTGGTTCCTCGCACACGATATATGTTTAATTAATGTTCTTGCTAGACCCTCTATTTTATGCCGCTTTTAACCATGTTATTCTAAATTTGGTACTGATGGATCAGTACGAAATGCTTGCATCTACCACTCACTGTCCATCTTTTAATTGTACTGTTTAAAATTCATGGACTTTTACTCCCAGAATTCCCCAGCTAAGTGAAGTCCACATATTTTAAAATTGACAAGGTTGAAATGCCCTCACTAAAAATCATTGTTTCAATCAGTCACTAAACGACAGGTTTCTAGAGCTCCTTATTATTAACAATAAAACTGCCTGTTTCATTCCTCCCGCCATGTCACAATACTTTACATTTTGTTACCTGCAGCTTCAAAAATAAGACTTTCAGAGGCCCAAATGTTAGGCATTGTCTTAAAGGACCAATTTTGGATTCCCAACAGTTGTTTTCATCTCAATTCTGCCAGCCTCACAAAAATTAGTGATTGCAGCAAAACTGAAAACAACATTACACAAATAATATTTTACAAGTATTTATTGTATTTATTAATATGAGCAAATGCACTCCATGTTTGATCTTCATACAGAATGTAAAGAAAATTAATGAGAATAGTATTTCATTTGCTTGTACAATGACTGACAGGAATTACCTTTCTGGTTTTGATACATACTTGCCCCTAGACATTCACCTGAACTGCATTTATTTTTACCTGGTGATCCCGCTTTCATTCGGAGCGCTACTGGCGATGCATATGTGAAAACTGCAGCTGTTCCAAAGTAAAACAGAACATAGGAAAATGTTTTGCAATAGGAACTATAATAAGACAAGATTAATTTTTCCTTCTCTTCGTGTCCTATTCCCCCATGAGCGCTGAATGGTCTAGAATAGATCATATAGATGAGTATTTCTCAACCGTGACAACTTTTAAGATGCATGGGCTTCAAGTTTATATAATTCCCTAGTGAGGTTAAGTCCACACATCTTAAGGTTGCCATAGTTAAGAAATGTTAGCCTAAATTCCAGTAGATGCAGAGTGAATGAGATAGCAAGTCTGAGCTGGAATATGATTGGCAGCCTGAATTATCTTTTTAAAATAGCCAGAAAGCAGGACATGTGAGTTTTAGTTCTGTCACAAAGTCAGCTGGGTGAACTGGAGCCCACCCCTTTATCTTAATTCTGAGAGAAAGGCAATAGCAAACCACTTTTGAAACTTTGACAAGTAAACTTGTTGAGGCAGTCACCAGGTATCAATACTGATTTGAAGGCACAAGTACACACACATACTTCTTAGAATAACCCCAGTCTGTAGTTTCAAAACCTGGGAAAATAGGGACTATCTGGAGCATTATGCATCATTGTCCAATTCTTTACCAACATTAAACATTGTGACCCCCCAAACTACTAAAAAGCTGCTCTCCCATCCCTATAAGGATAATAACTTTCTCAAGAAAGATTTGCAGCTGCCTACAAGGAGAAGTCAGAAAAATGCCTGGAATGGTTTCTTCTCTGAAGGAAAGAGGGAATGGCCTAATACAGAAATCATTACTTTATCTATTATTTTAGATTGTACAATCAACGATTCCTATTCAGATATTAAACATCCAACAACCTGACAGCTCAGGGAGGAAGTAAAAAACTAGCAATCCAGCTAGGTCATTACAAAAATATGGTATGTTGACAATACCTGGCAATCAATACGAGTGGATACCTGCAACTTGCTCTGCCAACTAATGGAAAGCTAAAATCCAGGGAGCACTGGGCTTTTTAACAGAAGCTCTACCAGGCAAGACTTCAGACTATCTGGAGAAGCTCAGCTGCAAATCGGACCCCTAGTTGATTCAATGGCCACTCAAGGCCTGGGACTGATCCGCCACCTTTTGCTCCCAACTCACCTGGAAGGGGGACATCTCGGCGGAGGAGAGGTCCTTGAACCGGCTTGCCCAGCTCCGTGTTCACACCCACATAGGCTGTCTGGGAACACACCACCCCAGAGCTCAGGCTTGTCTCTAGCGCCAGGAGCCGCTTTTCCTCCACCATCTCCTTGTCCTCTTCTAATTCCTGCAACAGCGCCTGAGCTGCAAGACGGTGAACAGGGAGCCTGCACAGAAAGGGCAAGGATGTGTAGAGAAAGGGCTGACATTACATCACACACCAAGCCTTAATTGATTGTCAGTTCCTTCTATATCATGGTTTTCTGCCCAGAGGGTCAGCTGACAGTAAATACAGGAAAAAATGAATAGCGACTAACTGCTTGTTTTGCATTTTAACTCATGAAGCTGAAAAATCTAGGCTAAAAATCTAGGCTCTCCTTGTTGTCTCTTCTCTGAAAAGAGAAAAAGCAGAGCCTGAATGTACCCCTTGGGGAACACTTCTATAGCCTGGAAGTAACATGAAAGAGCACGTGTTTTATTTTGCATTGGCTTGAGCTGTTGGTCTTTAGTTAATGTCTTGTTAACTATATTTTCATTCTGAAAACTGACAGAACAATTATGAAACCAGCCAAATCTCTTGGCTAAAGGATATGAATCCAGAGGGCAAGAAATGACACACAGATCTGAGCAATAAAGTTGATTAAGGTGGTGGTTTCCTACTTTCATTTGGCATTAACATACAAAGGACATATTATCTCCAAGAGGAAATGACTGTGCTGGGTGAAAAGCACCTCTCTTTGAATCAACGAAACAGCTTCATCTTTTTCTTGGTTCATAAGCTGCTCCTGGTTGCATCATGTATGAAGAGATAGCTGGGAGCAGCTCATGAAGAAACTCTGTGAATCTGAAAAAAGAGGCATCTGCTTCAGGATTCAGAGACATGATTTGAATGTGCTCCCACTAACATACTCATGTGCCTCTTTTAAAGGGTTTGTTCAGACTTGGGTTGCACCTTGAAGGAAAAGTTCTGGGTTCTACCTGTCTGTCTTCTCAAGTTGGAATGAGAATTTTGTTGTTTCTGTGGGACTCTCATTTTGGAAATTATACCGAACAATGGCTGTCCCCTCCATGGAGCCTGTCGTCTGCATAAAAACAAAAGAAAGGAAGGGGAAAAGAAGGGAAATTCTTTCTGAGAACCAGGATGTTTTGGAATTAGAGCTGCCAAGGAAGGGCCACTGAAATACCCTTAGCTGAACCAGCACAAGTCATAGTCCACACCACAGGAGGGAGGATTTCTCAAGTTGGTGGGCCCCAGGTGGATCACTTGCCTGAAGTTGGCCCCGGATCTGGGCATAGATGAGGCAGCGCTGACCTTGGAAAATGACCTGAGGGCCTGACCCCACAGGTTTGGCCTCAAGGCCAGATGGCAGTTCCCAGTTCAGAGAGATCCCTGATACCGCTGGCTGAAGGGCTTTCTTCAAACTTTGCAAAGCCTGCAGGAAACAGGAATTTTATAAAGAAGCAATATAAGATTTCAGCATCCTCTGATAAATAAAATACAAAATTTATTTTTAAAATATTAAGGTTGTCAGTGCTCTAGCTTTGAGATTACGGAACAGCATCTGCAAAAACAATCAACATTTCAGCTGCACATAGATGTTCTCTTCTGCTCCCACTCCACATGACACAGCAAGTCCTCTGGACTGTGACTGGTAATAATAGTAGCAAAACAAAAAAACTTGATTGAAAACTAAATATAAACTGCAGCTTTTGGCTGCAAAGAAGGCAACCCTAACCCTAACTAAACATAAGTTGAAGATTACCTGTAATAATTTTATTATTAATCCCCAAGCTCCAAATAACAAGGAGACAAGGATCTATATCTACTACCCCAAAACTTGTGCCTCATGCAGAACATGTATTATAAACCAAAACAAACAATTGGTTTTCAATTAGTTCTTGTTGGCATTAAAGAACTGAATCCATGTAATTTCTAATGCCCCCCACCTTATCTCAAAGGTATTAAACTACTGCAGCTGAAATATTAAAAACTTATAATTAAGTGGCAGCCAAAAAGATGGTAAATCCTGGAACTACAGTATATATCAACGACATGCAGCAAAATTAAAACCCATTAAGAGGAAGAGACCTCACCTTGGCCTGCATGCGTTCTTTGCCAGTGATGAATTCAGCACTGCCTCCAGCAGCTCGAGCAATGCCTTTGACCAGGGATGTGGAAGCCCCTTCCCCAATTCCAAAGGAGAAGCACCTGTTTGGTGAAGAAGTAAGAAGCTGATGGAAACCAAGCAACAAGAACATTAAGAAAATAATTGCATCCTCTCTTCTTACCTGTTCCGTGAGCACTGTGCACTAGAATTGGACATGACTGACAGGGAAACCTTTACCTTTTCTTACCTATGGAAGTGACTGTTACGTCGAACTTCAGCAATGACCTCATTTGTATTGGACACTTCTCCATCAGTGAACACAAAGATCTGTGGAGACAGAGAATAACTTGAAGTGAAAATTGTATAGGAAAGGAAGAAGATTGGAAATAAGAAGAAATTTAATTTGAACTTTCTATGGCTTGTCAAAGAGACAACAGGACTGGAATGAAGCCAAGGATTTGCTTAACAATTCAACATTCCACAAACTGGTTTGGTTCTAGAAATGGTGACCTGCTCTTATATAGTCACTGTTTCTGTTCTACCAATGTTGGTGAGTATGTTGGCTTGCGAAGTAGTCTCTATATTAGAAATTTTAACCTGATAAAAATAATACAAGCAAATTTGGAGTGAAATTCATATTGGTTTTCTTGGTGGAATATTGACCAAAATATACTCAAACTTATCAGTAGTATTTACCATTAATAAAGAATGCTGCATGTAGTATTGGTATAACTGAGACTGGTAACCTAGTTCAGTAGCCTCCAACTTTTGTGGCTCGGCTGGTGGTGAAGATGGGAACTGGTCCACATGAGTGGTGGGCTGGTGTGTGTGTGTATGTGTGTGCGTGCGTGCGTGCGTGCAGCTCTACTTACAAGAGAGAAGTTTTTGGGGCATGGTTTTGAGCTCCTTCATGCTTTTCTGCACCAAAAGCTTTTGCAAAGGGGCAGAAGGCTTGAATCTGTGTGAGATCACTCCCCCAAATCCTTTCATTCGTTTGCAAAAGCTTTTGGCACGGAGAAGAGAAGCCTTTGGGGGCACAGTCTCATGCTCCTTCATATTAACTGGGGCTGCCCAATCCTCCAAAAGCAGATCAGATGTCCTGTGCAGGCAGCTCACTCAATCAGAAAAGCCGAGCAAGGCACTCTTACCCCACTCAGCCTCTTCTTTCACAGCTCCACTTTTGGAGCAGGCGGCTGGTGGCCTGGTGTAGGGAGAGAGGGGCACTGGGCCATGTGAATGGTGGATGCACATGCACACTCACGCAAGAGAGATCTTTGTGGGGCTGCTCACGTGAATGGATCTGTGTGCACTCACCAGCCCACCTATCATGCGGTCTGGTTCTGAATAGGCCACGGCCCAGTAGTGAACCGCCACCTGCAGGTTGGGGACTCCTGACCAATATTTTCCCTATCTTATTAAAAGTGGCATGTGAAGACTTTAATGATCTAATGCCATGATGGCTTTGGAGGTCAATATTTATGGGCCCACCAGGTGATAACAATTACATTTGGAAGAATATAAGAGTATGAAACGTATAGAATGCAGATTAATGGAATAAATGGAAGAAAAACAGAAATGTACCTGTAAAATTAAGAACAAGAGAAAGATGTAATAGATCTAAATGAAGGTCTTGTAGAATAGCATTGCTATATATACAGAAATGAATGTGAACATTTAGTTATGGATGAAAGGTCTCAACTGTATGGTAGAAAATACAAATTGGTATAATCTAAATCTATTTGGTTGCAAGCCAAAAAAGACTATGCAAGCCATACATGACTATGTTTGTAACACTTATAGCATATAATAAAATTTAAAGCTTGTTCTAGCTTATTGTTAAAGCTTATTGGTAGTTACAGGCATTATTATATGCTTTTCTATAAATCTTTTTGTGCTCGTGTATAAATCCTGATTCTATCTAAAAAGAAAGATCTTATTAGAACTGAATACCTGTCGAGGATGTCCTTCAAAGCATGGCTGGCTGTAAATAGCCTTCAGGGGTTTTACAATCTCTGTACCTCCCAAGTCACAATCCAACTCCTTCACACGTTGGACAGATGTATCCATAGTTTCCTGGGTATACTTAACACTCTGCCTGCGGAGGGTGCAAGAGAGTGAAAGCTATTACTAAGCTAAACCAAGTTCTATGATAAAGCTTTCAGATGATTTTCAAGTTAAGAAAAGGAAGTGGCACATGCAAGACACATCACTGTGTAATTTTTTTTTCTTCTACTCCTAATTTCAGGACTTTGGAGTTTCTTCTATTTTAAACCTGTATTTGTGTTAAAAGCCAATTATTCATTTGATTCTTTCCAACTATATTTTACATAACAAGGAGGAGCTGGAGAAACCAAGAAATAAAAAGATGGAGAAAAGGCATCTTTTAATACTCACGGGTAAAATGAGTCATAAGTAGAGCCAAAACCATAGATGTTGAAGTAACATCCCAGAGGGAGACTCTTTAGCAAGAAAATCAAGGTCTCCTGAAATGGAACGGGGAGAGAAACATCCAGAGTCACTTTAGATACTCCGGCACATCTTTTCAGATTCAAAATGGCAGTTTCCATATTTATCATCTCTACTTTTCTGAGGTCCTCCCTTTGCAAGGTCAACTGTTGTGTTTGGATGTAGGTTAAAGAGACTTGGGCTTCAATTATCATCCCAGCTCTCACTTTGTGACCTTCCCTAGATACTGTACTTCACAGAGTTGTTTTTACAGGTCAGAGGGAAAGGACCCTGTACAGCACCTTGAAAGATTAAGCACCTTAAAAGATTTGAGGAAATTCTACACAGACAATACATGCACCCTATAAATATTGTAGACCAGCCTTTTCTTCACCACAGACCCCGTTTAAATACCTTTTGTGGCCATAAACCATGGCCATGGACCATCCCAGACTTAACTCATGATTTAACTCATGATATTTCTTCAAGCTTTCATGGACCCCCTATGATGACATAGCAGCCCCACAGGACTCCAGGTTGCAAACCACTGTTCTAGACCACTTTTCATTCTCCATTCTTTAACAATTGAACTGATTCACCCACTCATCCACCTTTAAAGTACCTTAGCACTCTCGATGCGTGATTGTGAGCCCAAACTATAACCAATGAAGGTACCCATGCTGCCAGAGCGATCCAGAAGGAAGATAAACTCTCCAGGAACACACTGACCTGCTTTGGCAACTGGAATGTTTGGGTACAGGCTTAGCAGGAGGGCTGGGTCTCCCATCAGTGAACCTATATTTGCAGGAAGAAAGCAATCAATAGGTGTTTTCAAACGAGGTCCAGGCAGCAGAAGAACATCATGGCTTCAAAACCTATGGGATTGGTTTGGACACTTAACTCAACAGCACTTTTTCATGCGGCTGTTGATAAAAACAGGATCGCCAATATGATTGCCAACATCCGATGATGGATATGGCACAAGAAGGAGGAGGAGGCATTTTCACTCAAGGCAGAACTCCTCCAATTCTTAGGACTTCTACTTCAGCCACAAGATAGCTTATGCCAAAGATAAAGAACCTGTGTTCCTCCATATGTTGCTGAGTTGCATGTCTCAGCATCCTTCACTGGTAGGCCTAGTTCCCAGAGGGATTGCTGAGAACTGTAGCACAGAGGCATAAATTCCCACCTCTGCCTTCAGCTTTGCTTACCTGGAGTAGCTCCAGATTTCCCAGCCTCTAAAATGGTACTAGTCTTGTGCACATCTTCATAATATATCAGCAGTTCCACATCACGGTCAAATTGGTGCCCTTTAGCCAAGGAGACCTTTAGGAAGATAAGTGAAATCAAAGTGCTTGCAGATTGTAGTTCTAACATTGTGGTAGACCCCAGGCCATTAATTCTTGTGGCAAATGCTATGCTAAGTAGCTAAAACAAGGAAGTTGCTTAAAATTTTGTTATGTAAACACTGCCTTGGCTTAAGTCTTCCATTAAGTGGGGATCGCTTTTAACTGTGATAGGAGCACTGATAGGAGCAGTTCATCCAGATACCTAGCCATTTGGCCCATTCTAAGAGGACTTTCAGAAGATTTGTTTAGCCTTGCAAGCACATCTACCCTTTGTCAGAATGCCATGCTTTTTTGGGAATAATGGGACTGGTAGCATAACATATCCGAAGACTACCTGATTGGGGAACAGGCAACTGGGAATCTTTTGGCCAGCACAATCAGTCCTTAGAACCCTAAATAATATCATCAGGGCAAGTGAGTGGGGGTTGGTTCATTATTTCTAATTATTATTTCTAATAATGATTATTTCTAATAATTATTTGGGAAACCATGTACAGGTAACCCTTGACTTACAACCACAATTATCACATAATCTCAGTCATTGAACGAGACCCCATATGACTGCTTTGCTCAACAGCTAGAATCCCAGCAGAGACAGACACTTGTGTGCAGCTTGTGCTGGACCTGCCTCTTCACTCCTTTTATCAAACTGCTTCTCTGCTCAGGAGCTGAAAGTCTTCTTTGCCAAACTCCAAGCAGGATTTTCAGTCCCTGAACAAAGACAAGGCCTGTGCTGGGCTTGTCCCATCCATCAGGCACCTCACACTCCTTGGCTTACCACGCAGTCTCTCCATTTAGATTTTGGTGCCCTCTTGTCTTTGGTGGCTGGCTGAAAGACCTGTCTGCCAAAGGAGTTCAGCTCTCCTCATTTCCAATGACGATTACATGATTGAGAGGTGCTTGGCAACTGATTGTAAGGTTGCCAGGCACCCAGACAGTGTTATTATGATTGTTGGGGTTTTGCAATGGTCTTTAGGAAAGGATGCTTTATGCCTGTAAAGCATCCTTTCCTAAGCTATTGTAATTCTACATCATCATTAAATAAATGAGCAGATGTTAAGTCGAGCATTACTCGTACCAGAAGATCAGATGGCCAGCATGCATATGCGCGTTGGGAGCTGCTCTTCTGGTTACTGGCGCTCCTGCTTGCGCAAAGTCCAGATGGCTGGCAAGCGCTGGAACTTGGAAGAGCAATGGGCGACAGCTAGCATGCCCAGAGAGATGGCTCTGCGTGCCACTTCTGGCACATGTGCCATAGGTTAACTATCATGGGCCTGTTCTATTGGGGCTGCAGCACCACTGCTTTTCAGCATCAGTCTTAATCCCACATCTTATTTTTGTTTTTTTCTTCTAAAAGGCAGTTCAAATGATGTGAAAAATCCTGTATTTCATTTTTTTGTTGGCTTCATACAGACTATTGATGTGGTGTAGGAAGTGTGCAGATGCTGAAAAACTACTTTTTATCCAAAGTTTCTCCCAATCCAACTCTTTAGGTCCTGGGCAGCCTTACCTGGGCAGCAGTGCGATCCTCTGACATATTTTGTATAAGACTGCATTTTGAGTCCACCCGGTTGATGCCATAGGGGGACTCCACCTTGGCACTGAGGGTGAGAGCATAAGGTAGAGCTTCTGTGGACACTCGTGGTATCTGCTGGGAAACGGTGCCCCCTTCTGAGCCTGATAAGAGAAAACACATGTGAGGTTCTGCCTATACAAAGTGGGGAGGCTCTTTGAGGATTCCCAGGGATGGCTGCCTTTTTGGGGCAAGCATACCATCCAAAATAGGAAAGAGGCACTGTGGTGCTGGGATTATTACGTTAGACCAAGGATATCAAACACAAGGCCCACAGGCTGGATCCAGCTTGTCCTGGAAAATGTAAGAGGCTGGCCTGTTTTGCTTTGGTCCAATATACCCAATGCGAAAAGGAAACATTGGGCCGACGTGGCTTCGGCCTGGTCTACCCAGTGTGAAGAGGAAACGTGACAGCAGTTTGGGGAGTGGCATCAAGCTGGCCACACCCACCCAGCTGGCCATGCCTCCCTGAGGTCAACCACAGCCCTGATGTGGCCCTTAATGAAATTGAGTTTAACACCCCTGCTTTAGACCAAGACACCTCAGGTTCAAAACTCTGTATGGTCACAATCTTCACTCTGGTTTTTTATTCCAGCAGATGCTTTACTTGGACTCCAAAGCTACGCAGAGAGGGATATGCTTACTATTTGGCTACCGCAGAAGAAACCAATTACTCCTGCCAAGAAAAGGAGGTGTCCACAAAACCATAAAGAATCCTGCTCAAATTGGAGGATATGTTATCTTGTCCTAAGCCCCCAGCCTGCAAACCTAGCCTACTTCATGAAGATGGTGTTAGAAGAAAATAGGAAGGGAAGAAAAGCACTTTATATCAGTATTTCTTTTCAATTTGGAAAGAAAAATAATGGGTTGTGATAGTTGAAGGTCTTCAAGACCTTTGCATCTTCTTCTACTCATCTGGAGGGCACCATCTTGCAGAAGTCTGGTTTAGTAACTGCACATCGTTTTGAGCTCTACCCATTAAAGAAAATGGTAAAATTAAATGGAAAAGATCAATGGCAGCATGCATCTCTCTCAAGCTTCTTACTTCAATAGTTTATTGTTTTAATGGCAAACCATAGCTGTGTTTGCACATTGTGACTGAAACACTATTAGCTGCACATCCCCAAAGAATGTACACAACATGTCGACTCCTATGCAAGCATTGTACATTATGCCTTCGTATCTTGTATGAATCTAGCCACAGCTGTTGGTTTTTAGGATGAAACTGAGTTAATTATCCCAGTGCCTGACAACATTGAGCAGGGAGGGCAGCGAAGGGACCTATTAGAGGCTTTGTTTTGGGGACTCCATGCTGGACTTGGGAATATAGTTAGTTACCTTCAGGAACATAGCGGGGGTTCAAGACAGCTGGCAGGACAAAACGGACTGCATCATCTGGTTCCACTGCTAGTGCTTGAACATAGCGCAGTTTCAGTGTGGCTTCCCCACCAGGAGGAAGATTGCCCAGGTTGCATGTGAAAATGTCACTGGTATTTTCTTCTCTCCCAAGCAGAAAAGCCTGGCGGCCTTCACTCAGGGCATCATCATATTCTTGCTCTGCCTGGGTTGAAGAAGAGGGAGAAAGAGGCAAGAACAGGACAAGTGATTAAAGTGGTCACAAATAAAGTACCTCTGGGGGTTTAAAAAAAAAAATCCCAGGCAGCAATGGCAATTCACTTTCATAATGTTGGCAAGATTACATGCACCTAGTTCTCAGACAAGGAGTTTAGTAACCTTTCCAGATAGTCTTCCTTTCAAATAAAAAACACATTCACAGGTGTGCGCAGTTACACTATTCCTACCATCACTTAATTTTTCACTATGGTAGAGGAACAAATGTCATCAAGAAAATATATAAAACCTGAAAGAAATGTATTTAAACCTGTGTAGCATAGTTTATTTATTTATTTATTATTATTTTATTTGGTTTGTCAATTGCTTACAAGATAATAGGTATAAATAAAAACATAGTTATGAATACATGGATACATATAAGAAAAATAAAAGAAACAATAGGACAGGGACGGTAGGCACGTTGGTGTGCTTATGCACGCCCCCTACAGACCTCTTAGGAAAGGGATGAGGTCAATAGTAGAAAGTCTAAGGTAAAAATTTTGGGGGTTTGGGTAAGAAACCACAGAGTCAGGTAGAGTATTCCAGACATTGACCACTCTGTTGCTGAAGTCGTATTTCCTGCAATCAAGTTTGGTGCGATTAACCTTGAGTTTGTATCTATTGTTTGCTCTTGTGTTGTTATGGCTGAAGCTGAAGTATTCATTGACAGGTAGGACATTGCAATGTATGATCTTATATACTATACTTAGATCGGACCGAAGGCGGCGTAGTTCTAGGTTTTCTAGGTCTAGAATTTCAAGTCTGGTGGCATAAGGTATTCTGCAACGAGTAGAGGAGTGGAGAACTCTTCTTGTGAAATATTTCTGGACTTTCTCAACTGTGTTAACATCAGATACGTAATGTGGGTTCCAGACTGATGAGCTGTATTCGAGTATTGGTCTAGCAAATGTTTTGTATGCTCTAGTTAGTAGTGTAATATTACCAGAGAAAAAGCTATGTAAGATTAGGTTAACAACTCTTAATGCCTTTTTGGCTATGTAGTTACAGTGGGCTCTAGCACTTAGATCATGAGAGATGAGTACTCCAAGATCCTTGACAGAGTTTGGATCATCAACAAGGTCTTGACTATTCAGCTTGTATTTTATTTTCTGATCTTTTTTTGCCAATATATAAGACAGAGCATTTATTTGTTGAGATTTGAAGTTGCCATTTGTTTGACCATTCTGATACATAGTCGAGGTCTTTTTGAAGGGTAGCAATATTGTCTGTGGTATTGAATAGCTTTACATCGTCAGCGAAGAGAATGCAGTTGCTCTTAATATGATCACAGAGGTCATTTATGCAGAGTATGAAGAGAGTTGGTCCTAGAATGCTGCCTTGGGGGACACCACTGTTGACAGGTACAGAATTTGACAGGACGCTCCCAATTTTGACCATTTGTTGTCTGTTTGAGAGGAGTGCTTCTATCCAGTTATGCAGATGTCCAGAGATACCATAAGATTTTAGTTGATTATGATGTGTAGCTGGGTGCAGCAATATAACCTCTTATGCCTTCCCAAAGCTAGACCCTTGCAAAATGAAATGTTTTATTACTTTGTACCTGCTTCTTCTCTCGGATCTGGGCCTCAATCCTTTTCCCATCTATCAGACCTTCAAAGGCATATACTGCAGCTTCATCATCCAGAGGGAAGACAAAAGTGGCCTCCACTGGATTCTTTTCCTCATTCTGGTACTGGAGTTCCGATACGACGTCAGCCACGAAACCTCGTATAATGACATCCACCGAAATGCTTTTCAAAGGCACTGGGGTGTGGAAATAACAAAGAGGTTAGTTAACTCAGTATCTGGCCTGGCCCAGAGCAGAAAACCCTCTGCTAAGAGTTAACTGCTGAAAGTGCTGACAAAATATTTTTTGTAGGTGTTATGCCCCTATCCCAAGATCTGTAACCCCCAAATCATTATTAATGTATGGGATTTATATGGCAACCCATCTTACATGTGCAAACCCTGGGCACCATACATAATTTAAAAAAATGAACAATCGCAAAATCCAATAATCAAAACCAATTAAAAATGCAAAAACCATAGTAACAAAAAGGCAAGTGGAACACCTTCTAAACTTATATACAATGCAACCAATTGGGGCTCTACAATTGCATGGGATTCAGAAGCTTGATGCATATACAGGTTTTGAGGGCCTTTTTTGAGGGCCCAGCAGGATGGAGCTAGCTTCACCTCAGGGGAAAGTTGTTCCAAAAGATGGATGCCGTAACAGAAAAGCTCTCTTCTTAGATCTGTAAATTGCTTAGAGAGGGCTGTAAAGCACTGTATATAAGTTTAAGTTTTATTGCTATCCCACTAAGGGGGGCATGACATGATTTTAATTTGTTAACTAACATAATTACTTTGTATTTTAATTTAACTTATTTTTCTCTCTTTTAAAATGGCATTAAGGCTCATTACATTGGGACACAGTGGCTCAGCCAAGACGCTGAGCTTGTCAATTAGAAAGGTCGGCAGTTCGAATCCCTAGCACCACGTAACGGAGTGAGCTCCTGTTACTTTGTCCCAGCTTCTGCCAGCCTAGCAGTTTGAAAGCATGTAAAAATGCAAGTAGAAAAATAGGGTGAGAAGGTAACAGCGTTCCATATGCCTTCAGCGTTTAGTCACGCTGGCCACATGGCCACAGGGATGTCTTCGGACAACGCTGGCTCTTCATAGATGAGCACCGCCCCCTAAAGCCGGAAATTACTAGCGTGGGGAACCTTTACCTTTTAAGGCTCATTACAGGCTGGAATGTAGGAGATGTTTTTACTCGGCTGCTGTATGTATTGATTGATAGCTTTTAACTTCCTAAACTGAAAAGATAAACTATAGAAGGGAGGGCTGGAGATTATCTCCCAAAGAAAAAGTTTGTTAGTGCTAATTCTGGTTTGTCTGTTTGTGAACTCCAAACAGCCTTTTTCTTGCTAACATCTTAAATTTTATGCCTCTTCTGAAATCAGATCTCATTTAAATGGACATACATGTAACATGTTTGACTTTATGTAGTTGATTTACTTTATTTTAACATGTTTGACTTTATGTAGTTGATTTAAAAGGGGTTACTTTTAACCTGTTCTATCAACTTTTCCTCTTGCATTGTCTTTGTTGTGTTAACTATAAAATGGAATGTAAAATAAGGATCTGTTTTCCCTCTTTGAGAAGAATGCCTTTTGTCTGAATATTCTGATAAATTGTCATTAAATGATCTTTCTGTCTTTGAAATATCTCTATGGTCACGTGATCAGAATTCGGATGCTTGACAACAAGTTCACTTTTATGACAGTTGCAGTATCCTGGGGTCATGTGATCTCCTTTTTTGATCTTCTGACAAGCAAAGTTATTGGGGAAGCCAGATTCACTGCGTTACTAACTTATCAACTGCAGTGATTCACTTAACAACTGGGGCAAGGCAGGTCGTAGAATGGGACAAAGCTCACTTAACAAATGCCTCAACAACAGAAATTTGGGCTCAATTGTGATTGTAAGTTGAGGACTACCTGTAATTAGCATCTTGAACTGGATCAGGAAGCAAACTGGCAACCAAAGCAGTTTACAGAGCAGAGGTGCAATTTGTGCAGGTCTTGGCGCACACAAAGCTATCTACCTTGTTGTATTTTACACTACTAAAACATCCAGATATTCTTCAAGGGCAGAGTATACAAATGATCCTCAAAGCTATACAATTAAAATCATAAGCTGAAAGACATCATAGCTTCCTTTTAAAGTGCAACTTGCCATTTTACTCAACATTAACCGGCAATCAGATACTCAATTTACCTGGCTCTTTAAAGGATGTGAGAAGGCCACATCGATGCATAATTAATGCTCTATGGAGAAGAAACAAGGCACGCCAACTGTGAAAGACAAAAAAAATTACCTTTTTTATTTTAAGAGAATAGTATATTCCCACACCTTTGATAAGTCATTTCAACTGGGAAAAGAAATCTGACACAGTACAGGGATTGTTTTAGCTAAGCAAAATGGCTCATCTGGCCAATTCCTGGTGTGAATTCTTTCATTTTTAGCCATTATTACCTTGTGTCTTCTGTGAATTAGCTAGAGCAGTGATCCCCAACCTTTTTTATGCCGCGGCCCGGTACCGGCATCAGCTGGGCGCCGCGGCCCGGTACCGGCATCAGCTGGGCGCCGCCATCTTTTTTTGATGAAAAAGTGCTTCCTGTGACGTCACCGGAAGCACTTTTTCATCAAAAAAGATGGCAGCGCCAGCGCTTCCGGTGAGCTTTTCCGGGTAGAAATGGCTTTCTACCCGGAAAAGCTCACCGGAAGCACTTTTTCATCAAAAAAAGATGGCGGTGCCCAGCAACCAGCGGCCCGGTAGGACTTGTTCCGCGGACCGGTACCGGTCCGCGGACCGGTGGTTGGGGACCCCTGAGCTAGAGGTTTGATGGGCCACAACACAAACCTGGAATAACCATGTTTCCCTGTTTGCACAGTCCATTATGTCACATCTGCAATCAGGAATCCAGCAGAGAATAATTGAATAATCAAATCATAGGACAACAAGGGACTTTCAAGATCTTAGTTTAACTCTTTAAAATCAAGGGTTATTTACTGACCCTGTATGCATCATGATAAGCCAAATTAAATAAACCATATTGTAGTTTAATTCAGTTTGTGAATTCACCCAGAGAAAGATTTCTGCAGCTAAAGCAGGCTAAAACTTTGCTTTCTTCAGCAGAATCTATTACTGCAGTAGAATTTTCTGTTCTGTTAAAGCCACTGAGATTGAACATCATCAAAAATATAAAACCCACAGACAAACAACACTTTAGCTATCTCTACGCAATGAAAAGCTAATACAACATCCCACTAAGAAAGATTTGAGAGAAAATATTTCATGCTCTTCTTTAGGGGAGATTTCAAAATACATGCAAATCGATTACAGCCGCTATCACTTCCTGCTACATGAAATGACTTTTCTGGATAGTCAGATATAAGAGATAACAGCAAATGCAAAAAACTCAAGCCAGATATTCTTTCTATAATGTAATTTTGTATTGTCACCCTATAAGGTAGGGTCACAAAAATGACTCCACTGAAAGTCTAGAATTTATTTTAATGCAGATCCTTCTCCATTTGTTGTCTTAACAGCTTCTAGATGGCTTCTCCGTAGTCATATCTGTGGCTCCCTATACATTTCAAGGTAAGAGACAAAGACGTTTCCCAAATATACCAATCTAAGTTAAAGCTAGGAATTGTACGGTTCCAGAGCTTGTTTGATTCCCATAAACCCATGCCAACATCACTAATTATCAGAAGTTAGGGGAAGTGTAGTGTAACAACTGGCCATTTTGCTTGCTCTGATTTATGAGATTAACTAGACTCCTGGAAGTCATTCTTGAGAGCAATGAATTTTCTAGATTTTAGGCAGGGCTGTTAGCCAACTCTGGAGAAGGCGGCTTTGATCAGGGACTTAACTTTCTTGATAGCAATTGGAATGGAAACACTGGCTGCTCAGCACTTGTCTAATAGACATTCTGTCTCATTCTTCATTTTCTTTAGACAATAGGAATTCACCTAGTGTTCACTGCCAGTCAAAGATTTTGAAAGCTCAGCCCGCATAAACATCTAGAAATGAAGTGGGCCTGGGTAGGGCTGAGGACAGTACCACTTGCCATAGACCTCATTTCTCCAACCAGATGCTATTCAAGATCTTGTTGGACTGCAATTCTAATAATTTCCAACAACCCTATTTTGGAATGTGGATGTTGCAGTCCAGTGCAGGCTGTTTTGAAATTCCAGATTTAAGGTAGAGGTAAATTCTCAGAGTGCCAGTTTGGTGCAAATTAAGGCACTGGGCTAGAAACTGGGAGACCCTGAGTTTTACTCCCACCTTAGATATATATAGCCAGCAGGGTGATCTTGGGCCAGTCATACTTTCTCAGCCATAAGAAGGAGGCAATGGCAAACTGCTTCCAAAATTTTGCCCAGAGAACTGCAGTGATATTGTAAGTTGAGTGAAAATTTCCCCAATTATTAACTTATTAACAATCAGAGACATTTGTAAGCTATGATGAACGTTAGCCAGAATTACTGACTGTGCCTTTGCCACTTTTTAAACATCAGCCAGCAAGAGCTGACACAAATAGGCTGACCACAAATATCTCTTATACAGACTACTGATAGGATGTGGCTTTAACACTTGCCTAAAATACATTGCAAGCCAACCCATAATTAGAAATGTAAGGTGACATGATATTTACTTTAAAGAATGGTTAGGGACCTCCAGACACTCAGGGTCTAGAGATGAATGAAGTTTACCAGTAGCATAATAAAAACCACATCCAAAGGTAGTCAACTTATACGGTAATGAAGTGGGAGTAACTAGTTAATAGAGCATTATTGCTTCAGACAGGAAGGCAGTGCAGAGAGTGGTGAAGATGGCAGAAAAGATTATTGGCAGTTCACTTCTTTCTATCCAGGACATAGCATATAAGCAAATGCTTGAGCAAACCACAGGATTGTCTGGGACGCTACACATCCTCTTCAGAACTTGCTTTCCTTGTTACCTTCTGGAAGGGGCTTCGTGGTATCCAAAGCAGAACATCCAGATTCAGTCACAGTTTTGTTCCATACAGCACCAACCTTATAAACTCTCAAGTTTCCTCTTTCCGTTATGTATTCAAAATAGACAGTGATTAATATTTATACATACATACATACATACTTACATACATATATGGTGTATTTGTGTGTATGTGTGTTATGTGTATGGGTAGATATATACTTTCTTTTCAGAGCAGGCAACAGAACTTCAGTTTTAATTCTCCTTCATCTTGAGCGGAAATTGACTTCCTCAATTTCCCTACTTAGTCAGACTTCTAGCCTCCAACATATCCAGATAGTGGCCAGAAATCAGTGCTGGCTGGAAGATATACGTGCCTTTCTGTTGTTGTTTTTTTTAGTTCACTAAGAGGAGCCAGAATATTGGAAATTATATATGTGATTAGGGCAAGGGTCTTCAAACTTGATAGCTTTAAGACTTGTGGACTTCAACTCCCAGAATTCCTGAGCTAACATGACTGGAGGAGGAATTCTGGGAGTTGAAGTCCACAAGTCTTAAAGTCTTCAAGTTTGGAGATCCCCGGCATAGAAGTTGTTTGATTCTTTGAGAAACTTGAGTGCAAAGGGGTGGAGTTCGCAAAAAATCCAGAACAGGAGATCGTGACAGTAACGTATCGGGAAGGCAAGTTTACACTATTTTGTTTTTCCTGTAGGCGAAGCAGTATAAACGGTAGTCGTGAGAAAGATGCAAGAAAGCGCTCCAATACGCAAGACAATTTGGCCTACCTTAAAGGATCTGGACGCTGTCGCCTTTTCCTCTTTGATTAAAACCCAGCAGAAAGCGAAAGCTATTGTTTTCTCGAGAAATTTCCGATTATGCCCGCCCCTTGTTCGGGAAGCACCCACCAGCGCCAGTCTCGGTTCCGTAGCTGCGCTCTGCGAGACCACTCCTTCTTAGCCCTGTGACCACTCCCTCTTTTCCTCCGTTTTGGAAAAATTAAACCCAACGGCGAGCCTTTCAAAATTCCTTTTATCCGAGGATGCTAAATGCCCCATTCTCTTTGTCTCTCTCTCTGGAGAGACAGCTTGGCCTTTCAGTCTTTCCTTCGTCCCTCACCTTACAACCAACGTGGACTCCGCGTCATCCTTGGAAATGCCCGTTACTCCACCCACCCACCCTTACTCAAATACAACAATCCAACACGGAAGGGACCAATAAAAGAATAATATTTGTAGCTCAGGTGTTGACGTGAGGGGTCCTTGGTGGTCTCTGAGCTTGCTTGTTTTCTTGCAGACGTTTCATTACCCAAACTAAGCAACATCAGTGACTAGCACTGATGATGTTACCTAGTTTGGGTAATGAAATACCTGCAAATAAACAAGCAGGGGAACCATCAGGTAATGAAATGTGTGCAAAGAAACAAGGACACAAGCTACTTTTGCTGCCCAGTGATGATGTTACCTACTTTGGATAATGAAACGACTGCAGGAAAACAAGTTCAGAGAGCACAAAGAAACCCTCAGTATGGAAGGTGGGTGACAGGACTCCCACAATTCCTACAGTTCACCATCATCTTCTGGGACTCTTAGTTCTCCTAACCCCCAGCCTATGATTTTGTTGTGAGGATTTGACGGAAGCTGCAGCTGAAATGACTGAAAGATGCATCAATAGCGAAATGGTGATCTCATCCCGGTTCAGGTTCTCACAATTTGCCCACGTTGTAGTCCAACCTGGTTCAAGGAAGGATTTTGTGACTAATTCTTACCTCCCTTCATGTCCAGAAATGAGTAAGATTCGCATGAATTTTCTTCTTTCAGAACGGCTTCTTAACCACACTGACAGTCTGGAATATTGTTACTTTTGCTGGTGAAGCTTAGGCAAAAGCCTGTTTCCCTCAGTCAGATGGCCCTGAGAATTTGAAGAAATATGTGGCAGAACCGTGTTTGCACATATTTGCACCAAAAGAAGAAAAATAGTTAACCTGAGTTGCTCATTTTTGCTTTGATCAAGTATGTTAATTCAGTTGGACCCATCCGAGAGTTCATTTTGGGAGATTCTCTGAAAGATGCAAAGTCAACCAAAAATTGAGACACAATCCTGATTGTACAATACTAATGCATCAAACAACAGCACCATAAAAACAGTAGCAAAATCCCATTTTGAGAGATTACTGAATTGATTGTTCAACATGGAATTTGTGATTCCCATTTTGGTATGATATGCAGTCTTTTCACATCACACTTCATTGCAAACATCCTCCACATTGAAATGACCTGTAAACTATAAAAAAGAAAGTCACCAAAGAAATAACCAATTCCTTGATATATTTGAGCAAATTACATAGATAACTTTAATATTTTTTTCAGAGTTCCTTATATGATTAAACTGATAGCTTCAGAAATATATTTAAGCTAAATCCAAACAGACCATATTAAGATGAAGTAATTATTGATCTCAAAATTATCTCCCCAAAGTATTCATTTTTTAAGTCTCTTTGGAAGAAAACATTTATTGCCTGCAACAATATCCTTAGACTGTGTCATGAACTTCTCAATGAACTTGCCCATGCAGAATAATTTTTCTTTTGGAGCACCTGTGATGTTCTTTCTTACTGTGCTGTCCAGACAGTATATAGTTAATTGGAAATTGGGATAGTTAAGTAGGAATTGGGAGCTGTCTCCTTGAGGGCATGCCTCATAGTAAATGTAGTTAATTCATCATGGGAAATGTAGTTCATGTCATGTCATATCTGTAATCCTGATTAGTCACTGAATTATCCCTTGGTTGGGTTGGGGGAGTTTCCTTTACTCTTCCTTGGACCCCAGCACCGTGCTGGTGTTTCACCCTTTGCTCCATCGTTATGGGATGAAGATCACTATAATTTCACACTATGAGGTCAGCTATGCAAAGATTTGGACATTAGGTTAATCTCGACATAACTTTGAGTTATACCTTGAGAATGCCTTGTGATCCAATAAAGAAACTTTGTATGGAAGCCTTTCTAGAGTTTGCCTGCTTGTCTTTATATTCAGCCAGCAATTAAAAGACAGAACAGTGAAATTATAGTTATATTTTTGAATTCCTAAGAATAGTGAAAATATAGTGCAATTTGAATTCCTGTGAGAAGAATGAAAAGTATAATGAAATCTGAATTCCCACAGTGAAAGGATACATTAATTTGAATCTTAAACAAAATGAAGATATAAGTTAATCTGATTGCCCATGAAAGAGTAAAAAAAAGTCATTAAACTGATATCCTAGGAAAGTAAAGAAGAAGGATTTAAACCCTGCATTCGATCTCTATTTCTCCCTGAGCAAGGAAGTCTTTTTTTAAAAAGCCTGTTTGAATTACTGGGAGGGGCCAGAAATCCCCCATTAGCAAGAGACAAACAAGTAGAATCCTCTCTAGCTCTTTGTATTCGGTGTCTCTCTGCTGCCTTAGTGACTGTTTTGCAAACGAGACAGATTTTGCGTAAAAAGGGGCTCTTCAGTCCAAAACAAAGGTAGATTTCCCTCTGCTCATCGGGAGGAAAGAGAGCCATAAAGAGACCTGTTCTACCCAAGTTTATGATGGTGGTCTCCAAGCAACAGAGTAGTAAATTCTTTAGGATGAGCCATCTCCATAGAAATGGGCCATAACCCCCCCTTCCCCCCTTTTTATCTTTAATGGCAAAGCTGAAGAAGTTTTTCCTTTTACTGGAATTAGAGGCAATCTCAAATCAAAAGACACCAGCGTACATTCCTTAACAAAAGGGAATCACCTGATCATAGTTTGCCCCAAACATTAGCATCCTTTGATGACTATTCTTCATAGCATAACTGCCTGCAATTCAGCTACTAGCTCGCAGCACCACCTTCTGGTCAAGTAATTAATTTCAAAGGAGATTCCTAAATTCAGCAACCCCCTTGCAACGCAGTGCAAGGGTCCTAAATTCATCTACCCGCTTGCAAGCACCCCAGTGGTCAAGTAGTGAGTTTCACAGGAGTTTCCTAAATTCATCTACCCGCTTGCAGTGCACCCTAGTGAAAAAAGAGAATTGCACGGAAAACTGCTAAATTCACCCTTTGCCAATTTAAAGCAGCCGTCATAGATGTCTCAGATGTACCAGAGGACTCAAACCCTCCATCCACCCTTGATGTGAACGTGGAGCTTGGTTCCCAAAACCCAGAATCGGATGTCCAAAATTCTGAAAAGGCAATGTTACCTCAGAAAGCCTATGACCTCAACATAGAAAGCCTACTGAGGCCATGGAGTCATACTTGAGGGAAGATTGGAACTGGCCGTATCAACGCAATACAGACTCATGAATGGAACTGGTGAAGATCTGTGATGCCTCTATAGGCATGTTGTTCCTCAAGAACATCCGCTCATTGCAGAAGAAGATAGATGAGCATCTCACATGGTGGAGAGACAGTGAAAGTAACCTGTGGGCATGGCCTAATTTATGGGTGTGGCTAGGTGGTCATGTAACTGGGATGGGAGTGGCTTGTTGATTGGGCATGGCTAGGTGGTCATGTGACTGGGGTGGGCATGGCCATGTGGCCATGTGACTGGCAAACCAAATATAAGTGGTCCTTGCCTAATGACCAGGTCCTCGTTTAATGGCCAGTTGCTTAGCAAGTGTTTTTTGCCAGTTTCCAAGGCCTGGGGAGCTCTGGAGAGGGCAGGACGAGGCCCGGGCAGGTGGCCATGTGACTGGCAAACCAAATGTAAGTGGTCCTCGCTTAATGACCAGGTCCTTGCTTAATGGCCGGTTGCTTAGCAAATGTTCTAATTTATGACTGACCTCCACAGAGCTACTTGGCCTGTTTTTGGTATTTTGACAACCACACATACACACACACATATACACACACACACACCCCTTCTAACCCTGCTAGTCTTTGATTCTGTAAGGATCTCCTGCTGGAGCAGGGGGTTGGACTAGATGACCTCCAAGATCCCTTGCAGGCTATCCCTAGATTGCTGTGCTGCTTCAAAGTCTTCTGAAGCCAGGGTTTATGTCCTTCCTTCCTC